ATGTCTGTATGTCTGTATGTACGTACGTATGTAGATGCATACATACCTACATAACATTTTTGGCACTCGCACTTGACGAGGTCAGGCGAGGATCCCAGAAGACAACATTTAGGCCCAAGAGTCACATTGAACTCCAGAGGTACATACATGCATACATACTGACAGACAGACAAACATACATGGATACGGGTATGCCCTGGACTCTCAAGAGGTGGATCCTCACGGTAACTCACATCACTCTCACATCATTACCTATGTCTGTTGCTGCACAATGTTCGCGCGCGAGAGTCAGGCTCCACCAGAGGCCCTGGCGCCGGCTGCAGTGCTGCCCCTACTGTGAGCGACAGCGTCTCCTTTCATGGAGGTGCGCATCTGGCAAAGGCAACTCTTCTTCCGGCTCTCCTTCCGCTACGCTCGAGTCACTTCGTGAAAGCCTCAGGACCAGAGATCAGGTCAGATCACCTCTGTTAGCCCTTAGACGCTGGACATGTGCTGGTGCCGAGGTGACTGCTCAAGCGCTGCATCCCTCACATCGGAGCTGGCCCTTGCGCTAGTTTCTACAGCTTGTGCCCAAGGGTCTAAGAATGAAGTTGGCCAATACCAAGTTTTTCTTTTGCAAGGTGTCCTGGCATAGTACCGAGGTCCAGTACCTGACGATGACATCAACCGCCATGTCAGTGAATCATTGAGACAAAAACGAAAGGCCCGGCTGCCTTTCAGCACATCCTTACGCCGGCTGAGGAGCTTCTCAACTTGAGCCTAAGCGCACTGGTGCATGTTTTCCGTTTGGCGTTGGCATCCAGAAATCAGAGATCGAAGCACTCAGTTGGGCGACATCCTCAATGATCGATCCAAGCCTGGGCTTCAAGGCCAGATCTGGATCTGGTAGTCGCTTTCCCTCTACGAGCAAACTTCCCAAGATCCAAACAATCCGGACGGTGCCTCGCCGGCGACCGCGCCGGCGGCTCCAGAATTCCCCGGTGCCTTCTTGGCAAGGAACGGACGTCCCTTCTTCTTCTTCGGTGCCATGCAACACACTGATATTATATTATATTATATTATATTATATTATATTATATTATATTATATTATATTATATTATATATTATATTATATTATCTTATCTTATATTATATTATATTATATTACATTAACACACATAGCCGGCCTCTTGCCTTTCCGGCTCCGCTAGAAAGGATCGTCCTGCTCGGAACACCGTCTCAGTCGCTTTTTCTCTGCGCTCTGAGCGCCTTCCAAGTCGGGCATCGCAGGAACAGCACCCCACGCCCGCTGGGGTCGTCCTGGTCTGAAGCTCCCATCTTGCTGCTAGCCCCTGGAAATGCAGCATCGAGCACGTCCTTCTGAGCCGAGGCCCCATTGCGCTGGCTCGGTGGATGCTGAGACCTCGCAGAATCGACACTTCGACGGTCGACATGGCGGTCTTTGGCCTGCTGCCGAGGTGCATCTGGTGCAGATGGGCTGCTGGGCGTGAACCGCAGCCTTGAGCGGCTCACGACTCTCGCCAGGTGAGGTCACTGCGTCATTATGCCAACCATGCTGTGAACACCGGAACAAGTGGGCCTCTCAGCTGACACAGTTCGGCGTGCCCTCGGTGATGCGTTGAAGCACTGAATATCAGCTTTCCATGAGGAGGGCTGCCCTTCCCTCTGGCGCTGGGCAAGCCACGCTGCAGGATGTTCAGGCAGTGTCTCAGCCTGGGGTACCACTTTTCGGTGACTGCCCTGAAGTCCTAGAGAGGTCCTAGAGCTAAACCCGAAGCTTTGCTGAGCGCTAAGAGACGAACTTGGTGGCCATGGCTCCGGCTGAGGTCTGCCCGGTCTGCCCCTGCCATGCGACGAAAATCATGGAAACAGTGCCAGGTGAAAGAAACCGCTTTGCCTCGCAAGGACTCCCTCCTGGACCTTGACCTGGTTCCGGCGCACGACCTGGACCTCCCGTTTTGGAGAAGACGGCTTCTGTCATGTTCGGGGGAAATGGTGACAGTGTTGTTGAAAAGAAACGAGATGCGTGGCCTTGCAGTTGCAACGGTTCAGTATTGTTCCGATTCCTCGCTCTCGAAACTTTACAAGCCTGGTGTTCAGACTGTGCCAGAGGGCAAAGATAGAATCGATTGACAGCCGCCATCTTGCATCTTGTGCTGTGATGGAGAGGGGGCATAGCCAGCCGACGAACTTCACATATCTTAAGTGGGCCACCAAGTTTCGAACACCTCTCTGTATACCTGTAGCAGTATCATTTGCTACAGCCTTACAGGTGGGGAACAAACGTTGAGATTCGTTGAATGTTGCCGGGCGGCCTCGTATCAGCAGCAAACGACACCAGCCCCTGTTTCGGCTGGGCATTCGCCCGAAATGCAGCCTCCCTTGCATTCCTTCGAGACCTTTTGCCTGAATCAACCAAGTAACACTTCACGCAAAACCGGGTTGGGGGGTGCCTGCGTTGGAAAAGACGCAGAAGCAGACACACGAACACTGAAGATCACACTCGGCCTGTGGCCCGCTTTCCGCTTTGCGAAATAACCAAGGGTACCCCTGCTCAAAACCGCTGGTGTGGGGGTCCCTGCGGTCAACCTCGGCGTGAGACCTGAGTGCTGAACCTGGGGTGCTTGCGAGGCATTTGTAGAGATGTTACAGTACCAGCGCTCTCCAGTATCTCCAGTTTCCCCGTCAAACCGCCGGTGTCGAACCCAATTGAAGCCTCCATGCAGCACTGCCGGCACTCCCTCACCCTCTCCCTCTCTCCCTCCCCCTCCCCTCCCTCTCCATCTCTCTCTGCAGGCGTTGCAGTCTCTCTACTCATCGTGTCACATCGTGTCACCACACCTCTCCGGCTTCTGCACAGGGCTTGTGACAAAGACCTCTTCGCAAGCTGCATACGCCGCTTCATTAACGAGGTGCCACGAGCACAGCAGCATGCGCCTTGCCCGCGGGTGAAGTCGTCGTAGACAGCTTTGGACCACCTGACACGGCCTACGCTACTGCATGCCTCATGGAGATGACCCTCAAAAACACGAACAGAAAACGTTGCAAAGTGCTCCGAGCGCAATGCTGGCATCGGCTCTGCGATTAGACGGCCTGGCCGGCCAACACTGGGGACTCAGAGACAGCTCCCAGCGTATCGAATCGAGCCTCATTCATGCGTATCCTGTCTCTCTGTCTGTCTTATTGTCCCAGGCAAGGAGGGAAGGGTAGCACTCCCCTCAACAAGATCTTCTCCAGAAATGGATGACAATCGACTTAATGTCGACTCTAAAATCCGTGTACGGCCTTGTCGCCGCCGGCAACACTCGCTCCTGCGAACTGCGCGCCCAATATGGTACCGAAACAAGCCGTACTCCTTCGGGACAGGCTAATGGAGCGTACCGCACTTGCTGGTGGCCAGTTTTGCTAGGTGCACTCGCCCCTACGGGGCCAACTGAACAATGGTGCCCCGATTCGTCAGGTGATGGGCTGTCATGACCAAAAGTTCCTATGGTGACTCCAGTAGCCTCATGGTGCTCAGTGGGAGCTTGTACGAGTGTTGATCAGTGTCAGCTCATGGAACATGGCAACATCTCGGCTTCGTACTGCATTTGTTAGACTGTCGTTTGTCCCATGGCAAGCACTTTTTCTGAGGTCTGAGGCCTTCTCAGTCTGTCAGCCGAGCTATGCTCATCTTTTCTCGCTCTCTCTCCCCTCTTCTCTCCTTCTGGTCGTCTGTCAGCCGAGCTATCGTTTTCGTCTTTCTTTCGCCAGGGCGTCTCCCGCTCGCTCTCCGCCTCTCTCCGACGACGACGACGACTGCGACGACCACACTTCTCAGTCTCTGGAGGACAATTTTTGCCCCTGCACACAGGGTGTGTGTGTGTGTGTATACCCCGATTCTAAGCTAAGGGATGTGGTGAGGACCTGTGAGTTGACTGCTCATACTTTCAGAAGCAGGGGGGCAAACCTATCACCTGAGTTGGTTGCCCAACGAAGAGGTCTCAGGATGATAGCTGATACACTTGGAAACGTCCGAGTGCATATCTGCCAGTGTCTGCATTTCTGAAATGGCCACCAGGCCAAGCCGAAAAACCTGGCAAGCCGAGGGTTTCTGTTGCCGTTGACAGGATATTCAGGATACCAAGGTAAATCATCCTCTTCCCCTTCAATGCCCTCCTCACTCCCCTCAAGATCTTCTCCAGAAACGGATTACAATCGACTTAATGTCGACTCTAAAATCCGTGTGTGTGTGTGTGTGTGTGTGTGTGTGTCTGTGTGTGTGATTGTGTGTGCATGTTTGTCTGTGTGTGTGTGCGCGCGTGTGCGGTGCGGGGCGGTGCGGTGAGGTACGCTGCTGTGAGTAGCGGTGCGGTGCGGTCCGGTGCGGTGCGCACCTCACCAAGTGAACCCGAAGACTCACGGTAGACCAGATCCCTTGCCTTGGTGAGCGCCCTTCCGGGGATCGCCTGGACATCCAGCAACGAGATCCGATCTACAGCAGATCTCGAAGGACCAAGTAAGCTGAACCAGACCAATGCAAAAACAATGGCAAATTGGAAGGCTCAGGAAGCCACACAGCAGGCAAGATAGCTGTGAATGGCCGACCACAGTCGACGTGGCTACCCACAGGATCACTTACGTACTATCCTGGTCACTGGCTACACACCTGTTCAGTTCCAGAGAACTAGTAGCTCATCCACTAACAGTCACCAACAACTCGCCAGCGCAAGAGTTGGGCCTCGAGTGGGTGCCCTGCATTGTCGGCCTTGACGCGACGTAAGCTGGGCTGATAATGCTGAAAGTGCTTCGGCAAGTTCCGTGCGTTGAACGCGACCTCTGCCTCAGAACACATTGAGTGCAATACTAAGTCTACCATAGCTACCGTTCCACACTGGACGGCTCAAGGCCGCCGCACCACTGGCACGCCCTTGGAAGCTTGGCGACTGACCTTCCGACTGGGACACCAGGCTTCGGCTGTGCTGCGTTGTCACCAGTGTTGGCTAACCGTCTAACCTGTTCCCACTTCCAAGATGCAGCTTCTGTGCTAAGAGGCCTTGTGCGAGTAACCGCAGACTCACGTACGCAGAGCTGCAGTTTTCGACCGACGAGTCTGAACTTCCTAACCGAATGCATGGTGCAGTGGCAAGGATTTCACACACTCGCGCGCGAAGACATGTCTGTCCTACACGTCAGACGCAGCGTTGGCTTGGCCCTGGCTGGCTCCTTTGGAGATGCCGGCAACTCGTAACTACTCGACACGGAAATGCTGCGGGCAGGCGTTCTCACCACGGTAATGGTGTGAAATGACGCCCTGTATTCGACGTCTGCAATGTCCGCAAAAGGAATTTCGGCACATGCCACATCGAATGTGGTTAAGATTGCCTACACGGCCGTTCCATTGTCCACAGGATGGACAAGCGACGTCGCCCATGCGCCGTCTTGCTGCCACCGTTCCACGACCGCCGGTATTAGGTGCTTGTATGCCATGGGCTTGCTGAAACTGTGCGAACAACTCACGTTGTTCGCCAAACTCTTCTCGGAGACGCTGCAGTTCGTGGTCTACGAAGCCAGGCTGCCTTTCCTGAGCTGCTATTCTTCGCACCTCTTCATCATCGAAGGTTGTACATTTTCCTGTCTTGAAATGGGCATAGGGGTCCTCACTGTCCATTTGTGCACCGCAGCGATAGCAAAAGTGTGCCCGGCACTGTGTACAGTGCATGTGATTACACCCGGCAGTGCGGTGCACGCGCACTTTGCAAACAGGACAAGGCTGTGACTCTCGGGCGATTTCTCGCAATGTCCTGGGTTCACTAAGCACAGCTTGAGACAGCTGCCCTGGCAAACCGAAGGTTCTCTCTCCCCGCCGTAAGATCAACGGAGTTTGAATAGTGAACAACAAAAAAACACTAAAAACTACCATATCCAGCAGGGAGGCAGCAGCTCTTCCATCAGGCGGCGCTGGCGCCGCCGCTCCATCGCAGCATCAGCCCGTGTGCGAACCAAACGGATGCTGATCGGCCTTCAGAGGCAACTTTAGCACCGGCCGATCTACAGGCGCCTACTCTCAGCTGTCACAACCCGCCAAGACTTTCTGCTCCCTTTGCCTCAGGGATTCCATCAGGACGGTTGACAAGTTACATATGTTGTCGAACTTGGCATCCCACAAAGCTCGGCCAGTGATTTTGTCTGGGACTCCAGTGTGTACGGCGATAACCTTGTCGCCTTCTGCGACGTTCGGCTCGCAGTCCTCGGTGATGTGGCCAGCTGCATCGACAGGCAGCATGTCCTCGCCTACGTCAATACAGACCAGATATCCCTTCTGTGCCTCACGTTTGAGCTTTCGCTTTTCTGCCACACTCTGGGCAGTTCCGAGCCGACGCATTGCCGCTTGTTGTGCCCTCTCCTCTGGTGCCAGACATGGCTCTGTCCCGTGGTACAAGGATAAGCACGTAGCACAGAAGACATACTCGCAACGGCCACATCTGGCCACGGGGGGAAGTGAAGCCACTTGATCTGAATCAGATACCGGATCCGGCAAGACTGGCGTTTCCATGCCCATCTCTTCACAGCGCGGACAGAGCACCAAATTCGCAGTTGTCAGAGCTCGTCGAAGCTTCAGGGTCTGCCACCTCTCATAGCCCGGCTCATCCAAGACTTGCATCAAGGCACTGGGCGCGATCTCGGCTCGGCAGCCTGTCTCCGGACACACCAAGTCAGCAATGCTGCCTTCATTCACATGGATCTCCGCCATTGTTTTGACGCAAGTCTTGCAGAATGCATGGTTGCAACCGCCCAAGTGTACGAAGTGAGAACCAGGATGCTCGCAGAAGCACACGTTACAGACATGCTGCTGTTGACTCCAGATGTCCAACCTCTTCCCCTTATCGTACATGAGCAAATCCAACAAAGTCTGGACGGGGTCCGAGCAGTTGGACTCGGCCCGTGGATCAGAAGCTGGCAATCCGTCAATAGCCTTCAGTGTCATAGAAACCTTTCCCTCCAATGCTCCCCGACTCTTCAGGATGAGCTCCAGCACTTCCTGTCGCAAGACATCAACCCAGGTGTAGATGATCGCAGACCCTTTTGCTTGCTCCCATTGGTCATCCAAGCTTCTACAGAACGCCGATAGGCTGTCCAAGTCCATCCAAGAGCAAGACAAGCGAAAGTCAGGTGGTTCAGAAGACGGGTAGCCGGCGGGCAGCTTCAGCTGAAGCTGAACGGGTGGCAAGTGTTGTACCTCAACTTCCGCGAAGCCACTGACAGAACGGTTGAGCCGTGGCTTCGCTGTGTCGCCGGGGACTACGTTGGCCGCCGGAGCCGGGACCGGGACCGGGACAGCTGCTGCGCGAGACTGCAGGTTATAACCTCTGCCGTCCGCGTCATCTGGCAGATATGCAGCTCGTAGGAACAAAGGAGAGTCGCCAAGCTCACCCCGCAAATCTGGACTCACCAGCAGGGAGAGCTCGACCTGCCCTGCATCATCGCTGGTCAGCTCTATCTCCTCTGGAAAGATGGCTTGCAACGCTTCCACTTCATCCAGCTGCTCCGCATGGCAATCTGCTTGTGACATGCAATACTGCAGCTGGACTGGGCCCTGAAGTGAGAGGTGTGCTCAGCTAGATATGCCAAGGCGAAAGCACTCGTTCACTTTGCGCGCGTGCTGCGCCTAGCCTGAAGACCATCACCAAACTTACGATTACATGAACTGAAAAACCTACACCACGCTGGCTCGAGTACTTCGCAGCTGAAGCTGTCATTCGGCCACCAGTATCAACGCCTTTTTCAAAAGCGGCGCCTGTGGCGAGCATGCTCTTGAGTTCTGCCCTTGTCGTGACCTGTGCATCGTCTGCAACATGTCAGCACTCACCCCCAAAATGTCCCGGCTCTGCAACAGCCCTAGGCTTAGGACTGGGATCCTGCATTGGACTTGCGTTCGGGAGTGCTCCACCAACCTCAACTAGCACAGGCTCCAGGGACATCTGGCTGCAAGAAGCTGCTGAGGCAAGAACGTCCCGAGACCTGAACAAAATCATCTAAAGACCGAGAATGCACCACACCCCAACGGCTGAGCCCCATGGCAGCAGAGCATCTTTGCCGGCTTGATTCAAAGACGCTGCGCCTGAGTATCAGATTCCCCTCCACAAGGATTGTGCTCAGTCAAAGCCAAGATTGAAAGACCGTTCACGTGTTCGGGATATGCTCTGTGAGAGCCAGACTTCTTCCCAGTTCCAGCATTCTTATAGCATATCTCCTGGCCAAATTAATTTCTGAAACAACGCGTTGTCTGATGTACAAGGCCAAGCGCGGACCTCATGCACAGGCAGTCTAGATTCCCGGAACCGACGCCCACAGCAGCTGCATGTCCTGACTGTATCAGCTTTGGCACTGATTGACTTTCGGACAGTGTACGCGTCTGCGAGCTAGGGCGGCGTCCGCAGAGCAACCTGGCAGATGCAAGCTAGCACTGGCAGTTAAGTCCAACAGCAGCAAAGCTTTGCTACTTTGTCGAAGCTCTGTGTGCCATTTTGCGATGCGATGTCAGTTGAGTCACTCCCCGGCAACACGCACCCATTTTATGGGTTGGCGTCAATACGCTGTGGTGGCAAGCATCTGCTTTTCGGCTTGTGCCACAGCTGCTGGCTCAGCGCAACACAAGTAGTGACAGCCCAGGACTCATGATTCGACGAATGCCATAGAATTTAGCATTATCAATGGAAATTCCACTTTCGCCGAGATGCAGAAGCCTGCACTTAAGGCCAACGCATTAGCGAGGCGAGCTCAACAGTATCTCGACTTGGGACAACAGGGGACATGCTGTAGCCAGTGGTGATTATGAGCTGCGGTTGCTAACGTCAAGCTCTCGTGGTCGCACTGTCGCTCTCTGTTCTTTTCTTGGGCTAGAGGGGGTTGCACCCGACCCCCTCCCCGCAGGTGCGCACCACCTGTGGCGGGGCAGAGTTGGCAGCTCCGAAGTGCAGCACGATTGCAATCATCCCTCAACCACAGAAAGAATTACGTACTCCGAGCAAACACAGCAGCATCCCTTCCAAACACTCAGCCCACCACCAAATGTCTCTCGTCATCCGCAAGTGATTTCCCGACGGGGTGCTGGCCACGAAGGAAAGGCAAGAATCGCGAGAAACCAGACTACGATAACACGGCTGTGCGTGACCTTGACAGGAAACTAGCCTAGTTACTAGGCTTCCCCAGCAAGCTAAATCAAGCTAAGTGATCGAACCTTGCTTGCTCTTTCCGCAAGCCTGAGAAAGAGGGCGCTGTCCTCTCCCCCGGATATGGTACGTTTCTGGAGCTCTGCTCCGCCTCCACTGAGCTCGTTTCTTTCTGTTGTCAGAGCTGGGAAGGGGAGCTTCCTTGCTGCAGGCATGAGAGGGTAGCGAGGGGCCTACACGTCCTGCCTATGTCTCTGTTCGCTTTGCTGCGTTCGGCGCTAGGCCGCTAGGGGCTAAGGCTATATAAAGGAGTCAAGTAGAAGCATCGTCTGCGAACCCTGCTGCCCCAGAACTCTTGCTACAGGGAAGCCAGCAGGTCAGGCTTCTCGATGCTAAATCGACATTAAAGGAACTTGGACACCCTTGAAGACAGCTTCTAGCTGGGGCAGAGTATCCATGAGTTTGTACAACGCGGCCTCATGCTCCACCAGTACCGGTGTCAGGTCATCTGCAAAAGTCGCGAGGGCCTTCGAATTTTGGGAAATAGCGATCATGTCTTTGTCTAGCTTGCTTTCAATGTCCACCTGATTCCGGGGACCTTGAACTGCAACATCCACAGCCTTGCTCTCCTCCTTGCTCTCCAGCTTCGCGATGCACTTTGGTTCTTTCGCGATGAAGTCATCCTCTTCGATGTCATCGAGGTCGTCCAAGGACTGACTTTGGTACCGCGATAAGCTTCGCACCTTTTCACCACGTTCACGACTCCTTCAAGGGATTCTTTAGGACAGTTTAGCGGGGCAGCCTACAACCTACTCCCTACGTTTCTCCAGCGCAACAATACGAAAATAGTGGTGTGCTGATGGGTCTTCCTTAGCAAATCTAACACCACGTAACCGGCTCAACTCGCACTGGCAAGGCTGTTTGGCAAAGGCGAAGAAACTTGGAAGACAAGCACGGCCCCGTGACGAGGCTCGATATATCGACCTTCGCCAAAATTTCAATGCCTCTTAAAATGGCGGGATTCGAGATCACACCAACGTGCTCCGTGGTTCACAAATCGATTAGAAGGTCAAAGGACTGTTGGAAAGACTGCGGTTTTTGTGGAAATTTTGCACCGCACCAAAGCGGAGCCTGCGAAACCGCTGGAACAATAATCCAACCCCTTTGCAATGAACTTGTGATCTCACCGTGTTACCACGCTATTTCGTGAACGAAAGGCTTGTTTCATGCTGCTGCAAAGAACCATGACGGCTTCTTGCTTCATGAAGGGTAATTTCGGGAGATGCAAAAACACGATGCAAAATGCTTTCTCATGGCATGTTGTGGCGAATATGTCGTGTCAAGAATCCTCTAACTCAACCATGTCTTTCCCTTGCTCGACGGTTCGAGAGCCACTTCAACACGGCCGCCGCTCTCCCACGGCCTTCGGTGTCTGGCCCTTCGCCGTGACATGAGCCCATAAATATAATTCAGCTCGGGGCAACTTCTGATCGACAGACACTATTCGGGCAACAAGAGGCGGCAAGACAGAGCCCAGGGACCACGGATGCTGCCACGACTTGGAACGCGGTGTCATTGGTTTTTCTTCTGTTACTCAGAAATGACTATCAACCACCTTCAGAAATCCTACCTTCCTCGCAGCTGACTGGACAGAAACATGTCATTCAAGTCGCTGAGGCTTCTGTGGCCTACTCCTATCACTGAGACATTTGACCTGCTAAGTGGATGATGCCCCGTTTGAAGCCACAGTCATGAGCTTGTCGATGCACTGTGTGGCATTGGCACGGGTCGAAGGTATGTGATCAGAGCGCTCATGCAGGAGCAGCAACAGGCTCTGGTTCATCTCACGCTGAAAGTGGTGCAAAGGCAAGTCGTTTTCATCTGTGCCAAAGGGCATCTCCAACTCGGATGCCACCAGGTTGAGCGCGATCATGCCGAAGATGGGAACGAAGGACACGGGCAGCGCCCAGTACAGCGAAGTTGTTATGGAGACAATGATAAAAGGCGTGTAAACGGTGTGGACTGCAAGAAGCAAGGTGATCATCTGAGCCCAGGGAAACGGGAAACTGGTGTCCTTGATCTTGACAGCATTCAAAAGATTAACAAGACCTCTGGAGAGCGTTTGATAGACACGAGACAGGATTGGCGGCGGTATGTTGAGCATGCCCGTGTGAATGTGGTGCGTGATCAGCACCTGGATCATGTGCTGCAGGGACAGGACTCGGTTCCATCCATATTTGTCCTGGCATGTGGCCGTAAAGCGCAGCGTCTCATCGTCCAGCGAGCACTTGTCAATAGTAGAAAATCGGTCACGGCAGCCAGCGATCTCATCCAAGGCAGACTCGTGCATGTGGCTGACAAGCCGGACCAATGTTTGACGAAATTGAATCACTTCGGCAGGTTTCGATTCGAGCGCCGCCTGCGAGAAGGAAACTAAGCAACTGACAGAATCAAAATACTCGCCGCGCATCTGGTGAAGCAAACTTGTGCCTGACAGGGAAGCACATCGCGAGCTGCGGAACCAGATTCTACGTGATTTGGAGCATACCGGCCTTCCCAAAAGCGTTCGAGGGCCTGTTGAGTTCGAAATCCGATCAGAATACTGAGAGTCACAGTCAAGCCAGACCACACCTGATAGGGCCGGGTAGGGGCCATGTATTAGACACGTTGTAAAGGGTTGTGCAGTTGAGCCCTTCGTCCTGGGATACAGTGACATCGCCGATGCTGATCTTCTCCAGGCTAACGTCACGGTCTACGAAGTACAGCAGGATCGTGAACAGGAGAGATGGTAGGGCTAACAGCAGCGCCTTCGGTGCTACAGAACCCTTCAGCTGGAGCAGCGTCCACAGACCATCCTCATAAGGGATCATCGTCAGCCGGCCAAGCTCACAAGCTGAGTCTTGACCCGAGCTGGCTGCGGACAAAAATGCGGCGGAGGATGTCAGTCGGCACGGCTCACCTAAACAGTACGACAGGTTGAAAGCTAAAGCAATCCCAGCCTAGCTGCATCAGCTTGTAGCTTGAATACAACAGGCCGGCAGCGCTTCACCCAACTCGATCGTCGTCTTCGTTTGAGTGTCAGCAGCAACGCCGGGTGAAGAGGGGCCCATGGGCGACGATGTCTGAAGCAGCGTGCTGTGGTCCGCTGCTCCTTGGCCACTTCCCCGTGGTCTTTGCATCCTCTGCGAGCCCGCCGAGCCAGTTCCCTCCAAGAAAGCTCCGGAAGGGCCTTCTGTTGCGAACCCGGAATCCTGACCTGAGGTGTTCAGTGCAGAGAAGGGGGTCCAGGCAGTGCTGAGGGTGTCGTCCTGAGCGTGGAATCCGCGCCTTCGGGGAGAAGGCGTTTTGGGCGGGGGCTCTTGCCCCTTTCCGATGTCTTCAGCATAGGCTGTCGAACTAATGGAAACGTGGCTCAAGAATCTCGAGATTTCGTCCTCCTCGTCTTGGGAGAATTTACCTTCGCCTTCCTGCCGCAAGTTCGGCGGCAAGCGGGGCGGGTTCAGACCTGGGCCTAGACCAAGGCTCGGTGCCGGGAAAGGCGGCGCTGAGCGCCATGAGGGCCATGAGCCCTCGCCCGGGCTGCCCTCGACACCCATTCGGCCCATGTACTTGTCGGGAGATGCTGCCCATGCCGGCGGGCTGTTGACAAGCAGCCGCTTCCAGCTCAGCGTGCGGTTCCAAGCTCCAGAGTTTGCTTCGCCACTGGGCGATGCTCGTGGAACGGGCGAGACTTGTCCGACATGCGGCGCCGGCGAGGCCAGCAGAGGGAAGTCATCCCCCATGTGCGGACGCATCGCGAAGAGCCCGTTGCATTCCTGTGCTTGAAGGCTTGAAGCTCATTAGTTCGGGGCTTGATGTAGCGACAGCTTTGACGTCGCACACGTCTCGAAAAACATGTTGTCGAGGTTGCTGGCGACCTTACATTCGAGTCTCACCTGCAGCCTGTGTCCACGCTACTTAACTGGCTGAGCTCTGAGATGAGGCACGGCACTCATGGTCAGCGGGAGTCCAAGAGAAATTCTGGGCGGCATGCTCTTTTTGCAGTGGTGTCATCCAACTATGATGCCTGTTTCGGCGGAGTGAAATCTGTACCATACAATAAACCTTGCTCATCTTGAACGTCGCCAGTTCGGGCTCGCAACTTTGGCCCACCTGACGGTTCCGTGAAGGCAATGCTTGGCACGGTATGCTTGTATGCCCCAAACTTCCCTCTGACTCCTGTCGGTGACACGCAGTTCCCCCGACATCCATACAGCATTCGTCGAGACTTGCCTGTTCAGTCGGTGTTGCACACAGGATTTTTTTCTTTGCACCATTCTTTGGACCCACTGCAGTGCTCCATGAGCACAGATTCTTGGGCCTATGGTGAGACACGGAAATCGCTGCACGAGCGGAGCTTTCGGTTCAGGCTACTAGTATGGACTACGTGTGGCTCAGATCCTACTTTCTGTGAGAAACCCAAGCTCAGAAGCTCACTCTTCTGTCACAGGTCTCCTTCAGCTCTGTAACACGAAGCAACGAGAACAAGGCGGGCTTCGTCCCTGCAATGCTCTCCTCGGAGTTGAGCTGGAACCCTTGGAAACCTCGTCTGGAGTCTCAAGCAGGGAACTTGCTAAAGCGGCTCAGCAGTCACTCGCAAAAACCTGCAGCTTGCAGCAAGATTAAGGAATCCACACCGGTCGCACTTTGCTGGGCCGGCTTTGTTGCAGCTGCTGCAACGATCAGCGCAGCCAAGGCACCTGCTAATATCTTTAGACCCTCCATGTACCGTCAAGATCAGTCCGGTCAACGGATGCTTGGAACTCGAGCTGATGTCTTACTGGCCAGGCTGCTTCCCATCACGGGCGACCCATCCAGTGTGGCAAGCTTTGCAATCGTCGATCGAAACACATTCGGCACAGAACTCTCCACAGTCTTGGCACAGACCTCCAGCGAGTCTCACTCACTTGGACGGACATGCGCTTGAGATTCTGCGAAAACACATCTGCCTGATGAGGTAACACCAAATCCTTTCCGACCTCACTGAAGTGGGAGTGGAATTGGATCGATGTAAACCATCTGTCTGAGCCGGCCACAACGACTGCACCGCCAGGGTTCTCCATCACAACCCAGGCAGTTCTCTACCTGAACGACTTGCCACAAACAGATTCCTTTGCAGACAAAATGGATCCACACCTGGCAGGCTGCACACCTTAGCTTTACAAATAGAAGCTCGGCCATTTCAGAACTGTCTAGCCTGCAGATGGCTCCTCGAATGAAGCTTAGGGTCCCGGCTCCATGGTAATTTTGTCCAAGCCAAAGCCGGCAATGCAGTCATCGCAGCCATGCAAGCCACTGGACCTACAGCAATCTGGTGAGCTTGCTTCGATAAGGAAGACCGGGTTGTAGCCGGGTCTGTGGCGAACAGTTGCGACAGTTCTGAAGACAGGGATGGCACTTCCAGTGTTGAAGAACCTCGAACACATCGCCATACAAAGTTGAAACTGGAGGACATCATCTGCTCGTCTGCCCTGAGCTTCTGGCCGTCTGGCTAAGTGCATATCGTTTACACTCAAAAACAACTGGCCAACTGAGCCAAAGACATATCCAAGCTGGCATGCGGTGCATTCTGTGTGAGAGAAAGGACATTCGCGGCAGCCATCTACACCTGGGAAACTGCCAGTCGGCGACAGCGCAACTCACAAGAGGCCCAGCAAGCTCACAGGCTGAGGCTGGATCACTCCGCACATGTTGCATTTTCAGCCGGACCCCATCCATGCTCACAACTGTCGCATCCACCGTTCTCCAAACATCTCCTTCCCAGGGGCATCTTGGGGCTGCAGTGCTCCGCTTCATGTGACAAGCGACAGCGAGACTGAGCCTGCAATGCGGGCCACCCTGGCTAGGTGCCAGAAGCCAGCAGGTGCGGGACCCCCACACGTACAGTTCTGCTCAGGCGTGGACACATGTCTGGCAGCTGCCTCGGTTCAGGAAGGTGAGGCCGAAGGCCGAAACGCCGCATGCCAAGCCAAAACAAAATCAGAGCTGAGTCGCCGTTGAAATTAATGCTCAAGCCATGCTTGCACTCCACGCACACATCCAGATCCTCTCTAGACTCTAGCAGCGGACATCTAAAACAAAGCATTTCAAGCACCAAACACTTGACAGCATCTCCTCATCCAAGCATCGTGAACAATTTGCATCCTTGCATGGCTGACACCTTCAAAACACCGCACATTTATCTTGGCTCAAGCCAGACATCGGGCCCTTTGCGGCCCTAAGCGCACCTGCCGTGCTTCAGCCCAAAGCCCTCTTTGCAGCCCCCATTGTCACATCCGATGGATTCCTTCGGAGCAGAGCAGCTCTGCGCCTGCTGCTGAAATGCACAGCTCCGCGCTCCGAATCGGACATGTTGTGCCCGAGGGCATTCAGCTCGCATTTGTCACCTGAATGCCACGTATAAGAATGCCACCAACTTGAAAAAAGAACAGCAAAGCTGTTGATGCCAAGCTACAATCCTTGGCACATGGGTAGCATTTACCCAGGTGAAAATGTGTACCTGTTCTGCACACGTGGCTTTCCAACCTGTGTCCTTGAGCATGCACATGGTTCCCGGCCTTCTATGCACTTGCCCTCGTCACAAAGTCGGGGCCCCGCAAGTTCGCAGGAGTTGCAGAACTGTGCGCACGCAGGTATCAGCCTCGCATCTCTGAGTGAAAATGTCTTGAATCTGCTCTGGTAGCCCGGGGACGAGTCTGGCGGTGGTTTCGGGAAGACGATTTGGCAGTTGCTAGATTGCTTGCTTCAGCTATGGACGCCGGTTTCCGTGAAGCTGCGCATGTGCACTCTGTCTACATTGAGTTCGACTCTTTCGCAACTCGAGATTTGGGAGTTGCAACTTGGCGAAACAAATCTCGTTGCTTGCGAAAGCTGGGCCCTCAGCAAGCTGGCCATGGCAGGTTTCGCCGCCAAAGCGTTGCCTAAACAAAGCACGGCAATCTTCTGAAGGGAAGTTTACCGCGAACGGAAGTGTTGAGCTTCATGCTCAAAGGATTCTGCGCCGTGACGTACACCATGTACGTTGATGGTGTGTAGCTTGCCGGCGCATCGTCCTGCATGCGGTGACTTTTCATCTCAACCCAAGGCCAGCCACGGCTTGCATGGCGCATCCCGCCTGTATGCCAGGGATCAGGAACGTGGCTTCAAACGGCTGAAAGGTTTTGTACAGCTTCTCCTCGCTCAGTGCTGTCCCGCTCAAGCCTTTCCGGCATACACTGGCGCTGTGTCGGCAACGGCTCCCGCTTGAGCAAGTTGCTGTAGACTTGCGGGGAGAAGCCATGTTCTTCCAGCCAGTGGTACGCCTGACTCCTTGCACAAGCAAGGCTGGCACGGATGAGCCGTGAGCCAAGCAAACTGAAGGAAGTTGTGGCATTCAGGCCTGACGGTTGCTGCACCTGCATCTTGGGTCGGGCGCAATGTGGCGGTTGGATTCTAGACCAAAGTGGTTGTCTGGCTGCCACGAAAACTCCGTCTAGAATCGAGTGGCGGCACAAAATGGTTTAAGCACCCGACTTCCAGACTTGAAGACACCATTGTTGTTTGCATCATTTCCTCTCATGACCTGCTCGGAGACGGCACGTGCAGCTCTGCATAGAGAGATGCACCATCCAGAACACATCTACTTCACACCAAGACTTCCCGTTCCTGCAGCGAAGAAGGAGTAACCGGCTGCGCAGCATACTCCAGGGCCACCCAGTGCAATCCTTTCTGCAGTGGAGGAGCTTTTGAAACTTCCAGAGGCTGAGCCAGCGGCTGGGTGCCAGCGCTTTGTCCTCGGTTGAGAAAACGGGTGCGCCCTATGCCAAGCTACAATTACAAGGAGGATGCTGCCGGGTCCCAGGCGCTATCTGCATCCAGCGCTGCAAGGAGCAGCACAGAAACGTTTGCTGACAAGCCCTGTCCTCGGCAGTGGGGTCCCAAAGGGGCACAACGAGGCCAAGCGGAAGAGACTCGGAAAGGTGGGTGCGTTGTCTTCACATTTTGCTAACTGGTGGGCCGGAAGCTTTGGTGTAGACAGGAATGGACGCCCTTCGTAACAGCCATGACCAAAAGCAGGAATCGGGCAGGAAACTTCTGGAATTACACTTGCTCCGAAATCGCAAAATCCACACAGGCACGATGGAACAGTTGTTGTACTTGCCTCCGGCACCTGTGGCTGATGAAGACCTGTCCTTTGCTCACACTACTCACCTCACCATACAAAGGGGTGAGTGGATGTCCTACTTGGTCCTACTTCGTGCTGCTGCGCTCTCAAAGGCGAAGAGTTCATCACTTAGGCTCGCAGAGGTAGTTAGATGCTCTCTTTGAGGGGCAGCACACATCACGATTAGCAGCCGAGTCCTCGTTCCTCGCCGACGAAGCTTTAATTCATTCTCTGAATACACAAGAACTGACCCGACTCCAATAGCTTGTCATCGCCGTTTTCAGTATGGCACAACCTCACTGTGCCAATACCTTGCCGTTGCTTGTCGAAGGCATGCTAGTACTAGTCTTCGCCAAGCATGGAGCCATGGAGCTTCATACGTCTACAGAACATCACGTGCCGCTAGTCCCATGGATGAGCCTGTGCGACGTCCACGCCCTGTTCACGGTTGGATCCCTGACCGCTGTTTGCGGGTTCATACCAGCTACACAGTACGCTTCCTGCGCCGGCCGACAGCTCCGATGCATAGTGCGAGGCTTCCATTACACTTTACACCCTCTGCTTGGAAGGAGAAACAGCAAAACCCGCCAGGCAATGCAAACAAACATGCTGGGTGCCTGGCCTTTGTGGTGGACGAGCCTCATGGCAGCAAAGCATACTGTAGGGTCACGAGTTACAGTTGCAGCAAGCGGTAAGCGGAAAAGGGTACAAAGACTTCAGGCCGAGACTGCGCTACACAAGTGCCGTCATCTACGAGCATCTCTGGCGAATCTTCGTTGCTGACTTGTCCAAACCTCATATAGAGGCCGGTCAGCGGCACAAAGCGACGCAGCAACATCGGCTTGCAGTAAGGCTGCCACGACAGGAGCGTCAGTGGGATCGTGTTGAAGTAAATTGACATAGCCAAGGACAAGAGGATCAGGGTCACCTACGCCATACGCCAGACATCACCAGGCCGGGTTTTGGGAAAGCAGGGGTTGGACTGGGGCTCCGGCCGGCATGAACATGAAAATCGCTCTGATGGACAGACATCGGCATATTCCACCATGTCGCCTGGGCAGCTCAAGGACAGCGGTGTGGATAGGCCCTTGCTGAAGCCGTCGGCCTCTTGAAAGCCTGAAGCCGTTCCGGGGAGACTTCCACGCGAAAGTCCAAGTACGTCATTCCATCGACAAACCTGAAGCCACAATTCTCGACGAAGTTTGCCTGCGTCTGCTTTGAGCTGAAACCGGCGCACCCTGCTGCTAGATTGTCCATGTCTACGATGATGAACACGCTGAAGATCTTCAAGAAGCAGCCCACCTCAGCAAGGTCCATAACGCTATATAATGCTCGCGAAACGTCGACTGCGTCACGCGGTCCCGCAATTTTCCTCAGGGCTCGTGCACAAGACGTTGAGCCGAGGACAACCGAGAGAGACCTGCAGCTTGCTTAGCGCTCGCACAAGACTTGCTCTCGGCGGCGCCAGGCCCGGCGGCCTTGGGATCCGCAGCATGCGGTCCAGTCCCCGCCGCCCCGGAGGGCGTTCAGGGTCTGGTTCTCGACGCTCCGGGTCGCGGCCGCTGCGCCCGCGGCCGCTCCGGATAGCTCCGGGCTCATGCTGTGACGTGTTCATTGCTAGATTTCTGGGACACTGGTGGAATCGTAAGGACCGAGCACGAACAGCACCAACAGCGCCATGAAGTACTGCAGCGCAAGGGCCCACCAACCCACAACCTAACTTGACTTGGCATGTGTTCACATGCTGATGGCATGCTCGCCGCATGAAAGTTATCGATTTGGTCACCGGCAGGCCGAAAGCCCTCAGCAAAAGCTCCAACCTGTTCCACGACAAGAAGGCTCTCTTGCTGTCTCGAAACTGTCTTTGGGGATCTGGCCACAAGACATCTGCAGAGACGCTGCGCATGGCCAAGTTCTATGGACACCTGAAGATCATGCAGGGCACATGCATGACAGACACTCTGCCTACAAAAATGTGTGCGCGGTCTTTGGCAGGCCTTGAAGAGCGACAGCATGATTGAAATCATCCTTCGCAGTGGGGGGGAACCACTGTGCTCTCGAGGCAGATGCACATTTGCTGTGCCGAGTAGCTTCATCGTGTTGAGACTCCTGGGTTCAAGAAGTGCAAAGACACCGAGAGCATAGAAGGAAACACGCCGTGAGCAGTCTCTCGAATTTAATCCCGAGGACCAGTAGGGGGATATGGGCTGCTTCCACTTGCCACCCTCGAACATTGTCTCGTTCTGGTAGGCCAAGAAGTACAGCACCTCGGGAATGCTCTCTCTCTCTCTCTCTCTCTCTCTCTCTCTTGCTGCTAAAGTGATGCACATGTTGTCAATTCCAACTCTGAGCCACAAACCAACAGCTGGGCAATGCAAGATGCCAATGGCGCGCAGATCGCAGCCCAACAAGGCACCTGCACGATACGTGACAGAGTTTGGGCCGTCTGCACCATCCATCTCTGCGGCCACTGCCTATTGCTTGCAGGTATCGCACCCCGAATATGGTCAGCCGGTCAAGCAAGCCAGAATACTGTTCTCACCTGCGGTGTCAACGAGATGGAATAGAAGTCGTGTTCCAGCTCTATCACCTGCAATGAGAGCAAAAGGCACATTTGCAAGCCCACGGAAAATGCGCGGTCAGCAGGAAGGCAAACCTTCGGAAACCATCTAGAACGCACCGGAACCGATAACACATTCCCCACGCGTGCGGCAAGATGCACCTCGGTCACAGAGTCCACAACTGGCGAGGATGCCTCGTAACGATGGAACTCTCTGCGGTCTGGCATGGTCTGTTCTAGCCGGAGGTTGGAAAGGGAAGGCGCAGACAGGACGCGGCATGCGGTCATCCGTGATGCTATCGCATCCTTGGCATGAGTGCCGACACAAGACCTCCTGATTTGCAGCATTATCACTCCAAGCCCTCTGCGACTGTCATGTGGAAATGTCTGGTCTCGTTTTGCGCCGAGACACGGCCCCAAATAGCCTTGTCCGGACGAGACCATGGCGAAGGAGCTTCGAGCGCTGCAACGGCGCCGGCATCCCTGGACGCAGGATGATGCAGGACAGTTGCTAGGCCTGCTAGGCCCTGCTGGGCCCTCTGCTATGCCCTGCTAGGCACACGCACTTCGAATCTGAGACTCCCAGCATTTCAACTTCGCGCTTGCTGCTGCCGAGTTCCTGTCCTGCAAGGCAGGGTCACAGTAGGCTCTCCCACCCCAAGTGTAGATGCTCGTGCCATACCCCCTTCGGAGGCGGGGTGTGCGAGACTCCCCTGCTTGATCCATGGAAGATGACTGAACCCTGGATCTTTGTTCGACTGTGGGGTGTTTCGACTCGAGCACGAACATGCAGAAAACCAGGCATGCAAGCAGGCAGTCGACCCTTGCCACTTCGTGAGGTGCAGCGACTCGAGCATAGTGCGAGCTGGCGGAGGTTTAAGATACTGAGTATCCGTGACAGCGGCAGTGCAAAGACATAAACCATAAAACATGTGCGCATAAGCTACCATCGAGAGGCCACGGGAAAAGTTGGTCGAATGGCAAAAAGCTTTTGGGAATGCGCCCGTGATGCCTCTGTGCAGCGAAAATCACATGCTGCGCCCAACCTGCGTGGCTACCGAATCGGTCGCGAAAGAAGTCAGCTACTTCGAGATGGAGTCTGGGTGTCAGTGAAGTAGTGAGTCGGCTTGCAAGATGTGGTGCCATGTGTCTCGCCGCCCTTGCAACATGAACATCCACGGGCACTGCCCCACTGAAGCCAAGGCCGTACAACGCCACGCAGGCCGCAACTTTTGGCCCCACACCCGGGAAGCGCCGGAGTTCTCGCTCCGCATCTTCTCGTCGCAAACTCTTCAAACCTTCCAGGTCTGTCGATACCAGGTCTCGCGCTGTTGCTGCTACGTATCGAGCACGGTACCCCAAACCCAGCTCGACCAACTTCGCCTCCCCAAGACTGGCCAAGCTCTCTGCACTGGGAAAGCTGCAGAGGCTTTTCCGCAAGAGCAGCTCGTGAACGTGCGATGGAACCTCACCTTTGTATGCCTCTGCCATTCGAGCCGCAATGCTTGGCGGAAGCTTGCACAAGGGTTCGCCTGCATGCTGGCGCATCTTCTCCAGCATCAGACTGATCCGCGGGACATTGTTGTTCGCAGAGCAGATGAAACTGATCAGCGCCTCAGTGGGGTCCTGCTGGAACACGCGGGCACCCGGGAGGGTTCGGACAGCTTCAGCGGCACCCTCGCCCCAATCAGCTTGCAGATCCAAAAGCGACGGATTGCCCTTGCCATAGTTCAAGTATCTGAGAAAGGCCTGCAGATCTAGCTGTCCGGCCAAGGGCTTAACCAATGTAGTGTCAGGAGTACTCCGAAGCTGCACGCAGCAACCACAAACGAAACCGAGCCATTCATCCGAAGCGATGCGCTTCCAATGAAAGCACTGGCCGGTCTCCAGACTGGATGCAGCACGGAACTCCGAAGCTGGAATGCTCAAGTCAATCCAGTCGCTGTGCCCGGCAGTGGTCATGTTGGGATCCCTACTCCTAGGCTGGGTGACAACACTGCCTACATCGCCAGCTGTGAAGATGCCGCGGATTTGCAAGGGCACTCCATGGTCGACATGGCTTGTAGACCCTGTCAAACTATAAGCAACAAGGACGCGCAGAAGCCTGCAGTAGCGGGAGATCTCTCCTGACAGAAAGGGTGGCAGAGACTCGCTAATTAAGCTGCTTCGTCCAAGGAGGAGCACTGGCGGTGCGTCTGCCAGCAAGTCGCGTGCCTCGGAAGACTGTGAGAGTGGCCTTCTGGCGGGGTCTGGCATAGCTCCAGGCCTGAGACAAGCCAACGTCTCAAAACACCAGCGGACGTCAAAGCAGAGCTCCGCACACCCAAGGTCTCAGAGATCGTGGCAAGGACGAGCCTCAGTGATTGGCTTCGAAGCCTGCTTTACGAGTAGGAGGGACGTTGAGCCAAGCGCTGTGGCGCCCGTTTTGGGAGCTGTTGTACCTTTCCACGCTTAGAAGGCTGCTGTCCTTGGCCATAAGAAAAGGCTCCATGCGGTTTAACGTCACCAACTTCGAGATAATGCGTCCTTGTGCGGAGATCCAGACGGCGAGTGTGTAGGCAACCACCACCTCCACATGCGTCTAGTACCGGAGTACCGGAACAATGCCAACTTTTGTACCAGGACCATGGCGGGGCAGATGCAGACTCGCTTCTTCCCGGAAGCCTGTGAGGCAAAGAGAACCGCAAGACAGCTTTGTGATTCCTTCGGCTCCAAGCGCCTCGACAATAATGTCTCTTGATCACTGCTGGCTCCTCTGCCGAAGGCACTGAACGCACAGCTCCTCTCAACTCTGCCTTATCTTCGGGGTCTGACGTGGGCCTTGCTCGAGGGACTTGGCTCGCATCCACGTTCGCGGCTCCTGTCTATGTGGTTGTTACACATGAGTCGTTCTTATGTGCAAGCCGGGAAAAAGAAGGTGTCAGAAGCATGGGAAGCAGATCCTTGTGATTCTCGGCATCACGAAGAAGGCTCTCCTAGATGCATTTCCCATCTTTCTACAATCAAGATCTGACTGCGGCCGAAGGGATGGGAGGGGAGTGTTCAGGAAGACTAGCGAAGCAGCTGAGGGGAGAGCTTCGGCAGTGTCCATGCTCGTCGAGATTGGGCCGTAACCAGGGGCCTGGCGCATCAGCATCAAGCTGAACATCAGCCAAGAAGCCCGTTCAGACCGAAGACCCAGAATGCAGCTGATCAGCAAAACGTGAAGAACCACACCAAGCACGAGGAAGTTCTTCTAGGCTGATCGCGTAAAGTAGCCATTTCAGCAGCAAATATGGGAAATTGCCTGTGACATAGAGGATCTACGTACAGGCGTTGCCTCCTCTAGGTCTCTGTGTCTCTGTCTCGTTGCCGCGGTCTCTTCATGCCAGACTCAATGACGACAGACTCTGTCTTTCGGCGACCTGACGTTGAGACTTGAGCCACTCCCGCACGGAGACTGCTCGAATCGGCGGAGCTGCTGGGAGCGACCTTAGCGAGACAAGTGACTGTGAGTGAGTGGGGGCATTACAGTATCGAAAGGAGACAACGCAGGCCAGGGTTGTGGCGTGATGCCGATGGCCGCAGTTGGCCGTTGCGCTGCACTCCGATGATATCCAATGAGAGTCCAGCAAATTGTTGAGCTGATAGCTGCTAACTCAGCATCGACTAAATACCCCAGCCCTCGGCCATCCGCGTTTTGTAGGGCTGCACTAATTCGACGCGCTGCATCGTTAGGACGTTCAACCTCTTTGGTGTATGTGGTGGTTTGTGAGCTGAAAGCAGGAAACGAGCCAAGCTCACCACAATCGCAAATCACGGGCATCGCAGCTTCAAGCGGTGCATCAAGGCCTCGTCCCCGACTCGCCGCGATCTGGCTTTCTGCCATGATGGCGTGCGCTCGCTGCCCACATATCTGGCAAAATCGAGCAGCACAATGTCAGACTGATGCTTATGTGTGGACTGCCAGCACCACCGCCACCCAGGACCATCGAATCGTCAAAACAAACTTCCACCACAGCAAGCACATTCACAAAACCCCATTTTTCATTTCTAGCTAGCTGCGATTGCTGTCACGGCGATGCAGGCAGATGGTCGGAAGATCATGGGACGTCCTAAACAGATACCTGCCGCAGCAATGCTTTCCGAAATGCCTGCGGCGGCAAGAGCTCCTTTTGTGAGACAGAGGGGACGAGCACTCCTTCGGAAATATGCACTGGTGAAAGGACTGCAGCTTGTTAGGCAACGGGTAGCCAATGCACCTTCTTGGCAAAGCCTTTCTCGTCGAGCAATAACCTGACGCTGCATTTGCAGCCAGCCTGAACCTTGGAGATCTTGAAATTGAATCCTTCACACCTCCACTTGGGATCAGGTCCCTGGACCACCATTCCTCCTTGACATCTCTGAGGAACTTCACCGGCATGCAGGCAAGTGGTGCCTTGTAGGTCTAGCAATACCTGGAAGGCTTCCTGGCCCGACTCGCCGACGTGCATGGAATAGGAAAAGCAAGCCTCCTCCGGGCTCCAGATCATCTCCTCAGCACTCCAGCCATTCCATGTTCCAGAAATAAAGTAGGACCGCCGAGCACGTGCAAGAGGGGCCGTCTCTGAGCCAGTCAAGGCAACAATCTTCTCCATGGCTTGGTTTTTCGCTGCCTTCTTCTCCAGCAACCTTCGGATGCTTACCAAGACAAATGGAAAAGTTCTGTTTTCTGAAAGTGTCGTGTAGTGAAATTGTGGCATGGCGCCCTCTCGACGGCCCTGTCATTTCTCAGCCAAGCAGCTGGCTGCGTTTCTCTAGAATCTTCGCACGCCGAAGAGCTGTCCTCTCGTCCTTGACCACCTGATCAACCATCGAGCGCTGCCCGGCAAGGGAATCGCTGATCTCAAAGCTGTCTTCATGCAGAATGGCGCTGCCGACACCATCAATCTGCACCTAGCACGACACAGCACCACAGAGACATGCGCAGTTGGTTTTGGACTGGCAAGTGTTGTTGCGAGGAAAGGCCTTCCACTTGCCGTCACTGAACTTTTGGGACAATGATCCAGTCATGCCATTCTTGCCGTGGACACCGGTTAAGACAATCCTGGCACATGCTTTGAGTAGGTGCGTGCTGCACTTCGCCCAATGCAAAATCACAACCATTGGAGATCAGGAAAAACTTTCGCAGGCAGCAAGGGCGCTGGGTGCCCGTCTGCAGCAGTGACTTCATCTTGCCTGATCCAACTCTACCAATCATGGGAACTAATAAGGCTTAACTTTTGAGACGTGTCGCTTTTCGCTTTCAAATCATGGGACTCGTTCAGCAGGTCTGGCCAACCACCCAAGGGTGAGTTCGCCAGCGGGGAATTCATATTCAGCGGAAGAGGCCCTAAGTCTTCGACGCGAGTGTTCAGAGAATCCAACTGATTCAACACAGCGTCCGGCCCGCCCAAGTGCCCCGGAACTTGGGCAGAAGCGACGATCTACGGTCTGGAGGTTCTTCAAAGCCTCCGCGACTCTACGAGGCTGAGACACGGACGTACATATATACGCATGTACACATAACGTCACTAGCACTTGTCACAAGGCTTTGCCTGCCTCGCGGTCTCTAGTCGCTGCCAGTCCTTCCCAGTCCTCAACACAACCGGAGAGGTGTGAGAGCCTGACGATCATCTAGAGATCATCTTCTGTGCCGGGTGACTCCAGCGACCTCCGCAGCTTTCGCACCCTCAGATTCGGCCTCCGGTAGCTCCTGCAAACAAGTTGCCAGCAAGACTTGGCCTGCGTAGATCGAGAACACCGTGTGCAATCGAGCATGGCCCGGGTCCAGCTTGATCATGCCGGCGGTAGGCGTCAAAATGTTTCCTCTTGTTTCTCTGTCAAACTTTGATGGCATGACGAGCGGAGGAGGATGCATCCTCGCGCAGACGAATCTCACAGCCTGCAGAGACATTTGCAGACGACCCAAACAAAAGACACTGGCTCCCATGCAAAGTCTCAATTCCGCCACGCCTTGGTGGCATCGTCCTGGGCTGAAGCCAAAACATCGAGCCCGCTACGCGGCAGGTCAACTGAACCCAGTGCCATCCAGTCACAATCGTGAGCAGACCATCTTCCACATTCCACAATACCTCGTGTCTTGTCTACTCGTTTGCCGGAATGAGCTAAGACTGGTTAAGACACTGTACTGACAGCTGGAGTTCCAACACAGAACTTGCAAGAACTAGAAAGAGTGGTGCTGGCACTTCTGCTTCTGCGGCAGCTCGATCAGATTCCACTGCTCCCTCACTTGCGGTAAGGGCAGGACGTCGTTTGACCCGAAGCTCGCCCAGCGCATGCCGATGCCACCACCGACACCACCCCACATGATTGTAGAGGAGTCTAGCCTCGGTGCTGGACACGCTGTACTCTGTAGTTCAGGATGCCGTGACTGTCGCCAAGGATCTCTGGTCGATTGAGCGCTGGGAAGATATCGTTCACTGAATTTGCTGCAACGTAATTTCCTGCGCACCAGACGGTAAAGCAGTCAACTCAAAGCGAAGTGCACCCGACGAGAAACTCAAACCTGTGTCGCCCTGAGTCAAATGCAAACATCTCAATCCACGTCTTCACATCACAGCATGCATGTCCTTGACCAAGGTTCCCCATCATGGTGCTTCCGGCTGAGAAGCCGACTTGCTTGCCGAGCTTCATGGTTGTGTAATTCAACTGCCCAAGAGCTTCCTGCCAGGGCATCTGGCGATGGCCAATGCCGGCCACCGACACAACCTTACAAGCCAGCTGGAAGAGCACACTGTCCGCGACGAGCAGCTGCGAACTAATTGAAAGGACCAAGTGAAAACGACAAATTGATTGTATGGGCAAAACTCTTGGGCGCAGGGGGTAAGGAGGAAGGGGTTTGCAGCAGAACTGCAAAATGCGACGAACTTTCGCCTTGAGGCAGAATATGAACTTAGATAATTCAGTGGCCGATAGTCCAGCAAATGGCAGTTGGTGAGACGGTGCTTCCGCAGAACTTGTAAGGAAGTCATTGCCACAAAAACGTAGCTCGAAACTTTCGGCCCGGGCGTGCCCCACCATATCTTCTTGGTTCATGAAATCTTGCCTGCCTTGTTGTTGTGTGGATTCACAACAATGTCCAGCTCCGAGGTATGACGGTCAGTGCCATAGGTCTTTTAGTTTCAAACGCCTTTCCAACAGCAGCAGAAGGATGAATGTGTTGCGTTGGCGGGGCACTCGGAACACAAGAAGTGCAGTTTCTGGGGCCTGGCTAGCGGAGGAAAGTCTCAAATGCAAAACTGCAGCAAAGTCATCTTCGGTGAAAACTCAACCTCGAAATTGTGTGTTGATTATTGAATGTTGTTATTTTTTCAAGTCTTTGTCTGTCTGGTCTTGTTTATCAAACTGACAGGCACGGGGTCGTGCAAACGGCCCACATGTTGAATGTCATCAAATGGAAGCATGCAGTGTTCAACCTAACACTTCATGATAGAATACGACGAAGCGAGACGTGGCAGAAGATGAACAAACAGAACAACAAACAGTCAAACAGAATGTACCGTCACGCCAGCACCGCAAAGCAAACTGACAGAAGACGCTGTATGGCGATGAGTGTCAAAGAGCAGCTATCCTAAACACTGGCACATATCAAAACCACGTCATTCACGAGTGTCGTGCATGGTGTGGCAGAGCATACTGAGGCTACCAAGGGCTTGCTAAGGCCTCGCAAGATCGAAGGCGTTCTCACGTCATGTGCATTTCAGTCTCTCTTCGCATGGACAAGAAATGGCATGAAGAATCCAGCAAAACAAATGATACCTTTAGTATCATGAATGACAATGCACCTCGTCTTTCTGAGCCTTCGCTTGACCAGCTTCCGCCTGCGCGGCATATTCCTTTGCCAGATGGGTCTCCCCCAGCGCAGACTCTCCTTCAAGTCCAATCTCGTGACGGCGCGAAGCATGTGCATGGGAAGCAGCACGCGGATCTCGCGCCACGGCAGCTTGCACAATCTCCACATCTGCTTGGAACTTTGGTAGCAAGAACTTCAAGGCTGCACCATTTCTCTTGACTGCCTCGATTGCAAAAGCCTTATCATTTCGCAGCTCCTCGGTCACAAATCGGACAGATGCTGCATCATGCACCACCATCTCCAGAACCAGGTCTCGGTCGGATTTTAAGCTTTCTCTGGCTCCCTGTAGGCAAGAACCGCTGCCAGCTTTCGCCGCCTCCACGAGGAAGCTTTTGTCGCTCTGCAGGGCATCTGATGCATGTGCTAAAGCAGCACCGTGGCTGCCAACGGCGGCGAGAACGAACCTCCTATTCGCCCGCAATTCCGGGGCGGCGTCTGCAAAAGCGGTCCCAAAGAAGGACGTCGCCAGCAGCACCAGGTTCTCATCGGCCCGCAGCTCCACCGAAGCATACTTCAATGCCCTTCCCTGGCTGGACACAATTGCAGTTTGCACCAACTCCCGGTCGTTGGTGATCTCGTATGGAGCATCGGCAAGCAGCTGCCAATCTTTCTTAACACCGGCCGACCACATCCCATACCGCCAACTTTTGGGATTCAGCTGTGTCTGTGAAGCTTGAGTTTCGTCTTCCCCGTTCTTGATGCTTTCCAGCTGGGTCCGGGCAGCTGCCATGCCATTGTGAAACACGCTGGCTGCAGCCAATTGCGATAAGTCAACATCCACATCTTCACCATGCTGCTTCTGCAGGGCGGTATAAGTTCGCCGCAACTCTGCCTCCTCCTGTGCAGGCAAATCATTAATCATTTTGTACTCCCTTCTGAGCTTGTCTGCGCTCTTGTTATTCGTCATGCATGCAAGCTTCGCATTGACCAGGAAGTCCAGGCTCGGAATCCCTAACGTTGTGGCAGCAAAACCAATGTCAAATAATGCTTCGACATCAACGTTGACAAAGCTGCAATCCCAGCGAGATACCCCACAGTCGCGCAAGTCGCTGCTAGGCAGTGGAGTAATGACCTCACTAACACTATGATCTCGGTGATGCTTCAAGTACTCGCAGACCTTCAACATGGTCGTCTTCTTCAGCTCAAACTTCAGAACGTGGTCACAGCCATTCTCTGTCCTGAGCCGATACAGGTTGGACTCGGCACCAGTCGATGTTCGAATTACTACAGTGGCGGGTAACGGCCAGAAGGTTAGACTGGCGGCACGAGGCTTCGAACACGCCCAGCCAGGCAGGCCGCTTCAGCAGGGAGCTCAAAGGTTTCACCTGCACTGCACAGATGTAGGAAAGAATGCCTCGACCGTTGGTGGAATATGACAGTTTCAGGTGTCCGTCCCACCTTCGAGGCATTCTAAAGTGACAAGCTTTCCCTTCAGATGCGAGGGACAGGAAGGACCACCACGTCCAAACTTCAGAAGTCCTCGGAGGCTACACTCGATGCATGCAATCAAGCCCTGCAAGCCCTGCTGCCCGTGCCTCTAACTTCGTAGATCTCTCCAGCCATTGTGTGACGGCTGAGGCTCACTGCCAGCCGTGTCTACAGATCATGATTCGAGGCCATCTCGAGCCACAGCTCACCAAAAACATGAATTCGATTCAGATTCTGTGACTGACCAAGAACTAGGCGCGTCATGTGCACAAATGGCTGGGGCCTGGAGCTGTCCACGACAAGCCCTGGTTCTTCGCTTTCCCGTGCACTTCTGTCTTCCTGATGTCAGACTTAAATTCAGTTCTGCTCTGCACTGAGCCACTTCTGAAAATACTGTTGCCAAAGCCGACTTCTGGGCTGTGCACAATGTATGCCCGCGGCGTGTGCGAATCTTCCTCCTGACGTTAGACGGGGGGAACGAAGCTGCGACACGGCAACAGCCGGGCCCGAGCCTCTATCCTTGTGAACCGAGCCCACCGTCAGCGCTTTAGAAGGTCTCAAAAGGTAGATCAGGGCTCGACTGGGCCGGCTCGAGTCCTGCCGTGACTTGAGAGAGATGCAGAATGGTTTCAGCGCCCTGGTGGCGGCGGCCTTGGCGCTGTGCCTGGCGCTGGTGGGGATCTTCCTTGAACGGGGCCATCTCCACAGGGAACTGTGGAGGATCACGACTTCCGCTCTCCATTGTGGGCTTCATGTCTCGATCTTGGCCTGAACCTTCCGGAGACACCGAAGGGCGCTTGGCAGCCAGCATGTGCCCCTCGGCCCCTGCAACTTCTTTGCCACTCGTTTCCAATTCATTCTCCGTGCTCTGAGCATTCAAGCTTGTAACAAGCTGCGCCCCGCCCGCCATGGAGATTGCATCTTCGGGCTCCTCCCTCTTGGTCAGTGCTCGTTCCGTGTCCGCCAAGTCCTCCTTCGAATCACGAAGCAGGTCCCCAGGTAATTCCGTCTCCTTCCCTTCCGGTACACCGCCTGCAGGAATCTTCTGGCCATCCACCGAGGCCCTCAGAGGGCCACTGGCAAGCCTTGTGGCCTCAACGGCCTGGGCCTGGGCGGCTTGGGTAGCTGCTTGCTCCTTCCTGAGCGAAAGAGCACGTACCCTGTGGCCCCTGGGCCGTGGCTTGCGATGCTTGCGACTGTGGGCACCTGGCCTCTTTGCCTTGCGCTTTTCCTTCCGCTGACCTCAACTGCGAGGTGAGACTGGTCTTGCCTGCAACGCAAGTTCTGCACAGAGCGCCAAGGGCTCTCACTTGCCATCCGACTGCTGTCGAGAAGCTCGCCTGCGTGCTTGGTGTGTGTGCTGCGCTGCAAACTGAACATCGAACAACTCAGCAGGGCACGAGACTGTTGGCTAAGAGCAGCTGCACTCTGCACGGTGATGGCCACTTGGAGACTGTCCTGTTCAGAAAACTGAGCAACCCCCTTTGCTTCTAACAGGTAATCACTCAAGCACCGCGTGGCTTTCTGAACCACGCAACGGAAGGCTTCTCTCGGAATGCATTTACTACTTTGTTTTACGCACCTGCATGCCACTCGACGAGAATGAATCAGAGCTGAGGGGCATCCGAGTCAGGAGAGCTGGCAAAGGAAAACTATCCACGAAAGCAGTTCTGAGATCTTGGGTCTGAGAAATTCCACGGCAACTAAGCAGATCAACAAGATCGGACCCAATGGAGGTACACCCGAATGTCGACATGGCATGCAGATCAAGGCATCCGAGACGAATTATCAAAGGTACGTGCTGAGCAGGCATCACGACTACTCAGGCAGGAAATGCAGAAGCTTGTGTGGATCCACATCCTCAAGGCCATGTTTCTTGCTGTAGGTTCGTTGGTCGAACGGCAGAAAGCCGAGCGAAATGGCGTCACCAGCAATCCGATGAACCTGAAACGAGCCTTTGCAGGCGCCCAAGGCCGAGTGCAAGGTCATGTAACGATGTAGATCAGGCAGACCGCCAGGGTTGAAAATATGCACATCATGGAAGGGCATGAGTCGGGAAAGTCTGGCAACCACCGCGCCGCCGAGAGAGTGACCCGTTGCTGTAACCCTTCGGGCCGTGTGGCAATGAAGCTGATGCTGCATGGCGGCCAAAGACTCTCTTGCCCGACTGTGCAATGCCTCGAAACTCTTGCCGATTGCTATGCATGCATCTCTTCCGAGGTCTTGCACATCTGACAAGCAGGTCCCTCGTTCTGCGAGAACCAGGTGGCCCCCGTTTGAAGGGCAGTACCAGAAGCCTTGCCGGGAATCACCGCCGACATATGCGTACCAAAACTCTCCCTGAATGGTCTGACGGTCGATAGTTACCATCTCGCACATCAGGAAGCCCTGCCGTTCAGACGGGGCTCTGTAAACCTGCTTGGCGAGTCGCGCATGCGCTTGCGCGTCTGCACTCGCGACCTCTACAAATTGTCTGGTCTTGGCTCTGCGGATGGTTGCCTCTGCGGATGCAGCAGCGGCTGTCAGGCTAAGTTTGATGGCTGCCTCCCGGAATCGGTTCTTGGCCTTTTGCTTCAGCGTTTGCTTCAGCGTGTGCTTCACCACCTTGATCACATGATGAGCCGTTTGGCCAGCTGGCCTTGCACACAACATAGCTGGCTGCGCAAGTCCACTGCATCCAACATCCACCAACAACCTGCCGACCGCAATGGCACAACCTGTCTTATCACCTGAGGCTGCCGCATCCAAAACATCGGTTGCAGGGCCAACAACAGGGCAAAAGCCAACAGCAGTCCGCAGCAGTACCATTGTCAGGTCACGAACAGCTACTGCTTGAGCTACGAAACTCTGCGAGGAGTTTCTCGGTTCCGGCCCTGACCAACACATTGCAAGTCATGCGCACCGCTGGCATCTGGCCTATCAGTAGCCACATGCATACAACTTACTCATGTGATATCTTCTGAAGATGTATCTTGAATTCCAAGCCCTCAGACCCCAGGAGAAGCGTGATGCTTCTCCACGTGCTTATGGAACACTGCTGCCTGACGAAGCGCTTTGGATGCAAAAACCGGACAGTGTAAGACTCCCAATGTCGGTCCAAGTCCGTCCCCTTCAAAGAGCTTCGTACATCCGCCGTTCGCAAAACACGATAAACGAGCAAGGGCAAGAATGACTCTCTGTGCAGCGGATCTCATCCCAGCTTTGACGCCCACACAGGCCAGGGCGGCATGCCCCAACTGTGGGCCAATCAGAAAGAGAGAGGGACAGAGTCCACAATCGGCCTCATTCTTCGTCTCCTGCATCGAGTCCCAATCCTGCGAAAGCAAGACGGGAAGAAGATGGAAGAAGAGCCATCCCTGGCCGCTGTGTCACGTCAACAAGACACTTCTGCGGGGCTGACCAGGGCAGCCGCCAGCTCGTCTTTTGAAATCACACCGTCTCCGTCTGTGTCCAACTTGTCAAAGCCAACCTGCACGCGGCCAGGGCTGTCGCCAAGTGCCTGCTTGCTCCCTGACCACAGCGAAGAAACTGCCTCCGCAAGCTTCGAGTTCTCTGCCTTCAACATGCCAATGCGATGAGGGCTTTGATGGATGAGCTCGTCTAGCAGCTAGTGATCTGCCTGCATCCTCTTCAACTCGTCCCGTGATAGAACACCATCGCCGTCATCGTACTGCTTGAATATGTCCTGCCAACTGTTTACGCGGCGAGCTGCACCCGACATCTACAAGCAAGCTTCGGAACAACCAAGGGCACACGAGCGAGCCTGGTCCTTGGTGTCCTGCATCGAGTCCCAGTCCTGCTGCCCCGAACCCACCTACCCCTGCTTGTTGCACTAGAGGATGCTGACGGTGATTCGTCTGCGGGGCTGACCAGGGCAGCCGCCAGCTCGTCTTTTGAAACCACACCGTCTCCGTCTGTGTCCAACTTGTCAAAGTCAACCTGCATGCTACAAGGGCTGTCGCCAAGTGCCTGCCTGCTCTCAGACCACAGCGAAGAAACTGCCTCCGCAAGCTTCGCGTTCTCTGCCTTCAACATGCCAATGCGATGAGGGCTTTGATGGATGAGCTCATCTAGGACACAGCGATTTGCCTGCATCCTCTTTAACTCTTCGCGCGATAGAACACCATCGCCGTCATCGTACTGCTTGAATATGTCCTGCGAACTGTTTACGCGACGAGCTGCACCCGACATCTGCAAGACAGCTTCGAAATAACCAACCACACACGAGCGAGCCTCGTCCTTGGTGTCCTGCATCGAACTCCGATTCTGTCAACAGTAAGCTTCTAGAAAGCACTCAATGCGCAAATGAACTCGTCCGCGGCACTGCTCAACAGCTGCTATGCACAGAATGCTGAAGCATTTCTTCGGAAGAATGCAAGGCTGCAGGATGCGGCTTCCAGCTTCTGAAATCGCAAGGGTGATACCGACAGCTGGAAACTGGCCCACTCTTTTTGGTCGAACTCGGTTATCTTAGAAGCACAGGACTCTTCAGGCGAGGCACAACGAGGCATGTGTCTTGACGGTCTTAGTTGAGAAACCCAAGCAGCTTACAAGCAGCAACTAGCAGACTAGCATTTTCGACGTAGCAAGACCCCACATACAGGACTGCTCGGACCGCGCACTACCTGCTCGCAGGTGTGATCAAGTGTGCATGGCTTGGCATGGATAGCAGGGCATGATGCCCCCGGCTGCAAACTGAACCGATCATGAGGAAGCTGACAGTGTTTTTCGTGAGCCTCGGAGTCAACCCCGCCAAGCCCCAGCCTCCCTGCGACATCCTGCGATCCAGCATGCATCCGTTGGCCCAATCGAAGTGAGAAGCCCAATGCGGTCGGCAAGTGCAAGAATCATTCTGAACCACAGTTGCACCTGGCTTCTGATACTAACCCTATACGGCTATACGGTTCCTGAAGGTTACCCTAGTGGTGCGTTGGATGTCCCTGCTAATAAGGGCCGCCCAGCAGATGCATGCGCAACACAGCGAGTACTCAGGGGTGTCATGCGGGTCTGCAGCACCGCCGAAAGTGCGAAGGGTAGCTCACCGGTAAACGCTTCGGAGACGCGCCACATCGCCCCACCGGTCATCAACATGGAGGGAGGGAATCAGGCACACAGAGTCCTACATTCTGGCCTGGCAACTTGAGCCGGCATGCAACAACAAACACGTTGCACTGGCAGTCGCTGGAGTGGGGGACGGGCGCACGAACGTGGCACGAACAAAGGCTATTCACCAAGCCTGCCCTACACACAAACAGCTGCACGAAGAAACTGTCACGCTTTGAGTTTGGCTGCCCGATGGTAGGTGACCCGCCCACCCATGAGGTGAGTGAAGGGCGGAGGACTAGTGGATCTTGAAGTGGACGGCAATTTACACTTTTGTGGAGTACTGGAACTCCACCACTATCCAAAAGCAAACAAAGCGCAGTAAGCAAGCCCCACCGTGCCTTCGCGGCTGACGATTCCTTCGCGGAATGACCCGCTGCTGCAGGCATCTTATCCTTCAGACAGGACTGTGCTCATAGGCAGGCTCCAGGGGCAAAAAAACTCAACCAAAACGCAGCACGTCCTGGCGCAAACTGCTCCTCGCTGCCAAATCAGCCTCTGACCGACCCGGTGTGTCCGTGACACTCTTCTTGTTGAAGGCGATCTCCTCCGTTTCTGCCAAGTCTACCTCCTCCCTGGACTGGTGAGGATCGAGGGGATCAGGCTGAGGAGACGTAAGGCACCATGGAGGTGCGGCGATCTGGTGCTCTTCAATAGATCTGAGGAGCTGCTGCACCCATTCCTCGGAACCTCGCAACTGCTTGGTGTGTGCCTCCGGGCTCAGATACAGCAATCCTGTTGCGTTCTCTTCCTTATTTACTCGCCGAGGTCTGGAAACGAAGTTCGCCAAGTGTTCTTCTATCCGACTGGCCAGTGGAGCCTGTGGAAGGTCTCCCGGCATTCCGCAAAACTGCTCGGACGGCGGCCCGGCATGGCTGTCCCGATTCTCTGGGTCTATCTCCCATTATCTTCGCAAGCACCCGAATGCGAAAGGATTACAGGGATTTAGAGGGCACCATCGAGTGGCCGCAACTGTTACCGCTCATGCGGGATCTCAGATGCCACAACCTCTAAAACATGCTCATTCTGCGGCCAATGCACTCGCGAAGCAGCTGACATTCAATAGCTTCCCTCGTCCCACATGCCCGCCATCAGCTGTGAGGCATGTCCACGCGGTGCCCCATTCACGCGGCATTTCTTCCGACATGAAGATTTACACGATGGTGCAATGTCTCGACCGTCACGCGGTATAGCCGGCCTGAGGACGCAGCAAAATGTCCGACATTGCAATGAATCAAAGAAGCCTGTCCTGCTCAAGCTTGCGCTTCGCTCGCGCGGCCAGCAAGTCGCCAGCTTGCTGCTGGAGTTGCCTCAGCCGCCAGTTGAATTGGCCGGCCGATGGTGTGGGGGTGCCCTGCCTCAGCTCGTCGTCGCCTGTCGCCAGTCTACAAGAAGTTCAGCCGCCTAAGGAGCTTAACGAGCCAGCCTAGTGCCGGCAGTGTTGAACGTATAAGAGCCAGAGCCTCCCAGACAGCCATAGCGTACAGTGTGCGAACCTCTCGGAAAACCTCGGAACACCGCTGAGGTCGCGGCAGGCTGCGACGAGCTGGGAGGTGGTAGACTGCCTGCTTAACACTACTCCACAAGGCACTCCGTTGCTCTCTTCACTGCCTGCAAGCCGGTCTCGCATGCCCACGACCTCACCTCTGCCAACACCGACAGCCATACAAAAAAGCTAGTACTGGTAGCATGGGTGGCTTCCGATCCGAGGCTCTCACCCATCAGGATCAAAGCTGGGCCTGGCAAGTCTTTCCGATCTTTCACCTGCGCTCACGCCCGCGCATGCTTCGAGTCACAAGAATACAGTGAAGTCGAGCGCAGGGCTGCGGCGGCAAGAGTGGCCACGGTGCCCGCCACAACCTGCAAGGAAAGGCACAGTGCAGCGGAGAAGGAATGTAGATTCGTAGATTTTGCAACTGAACCTGCATCTCCGGAAGCGAGGCTCTATCCACGAGCGCCATAGGTGTTTCCTGAAGCCACTGTCGTTTCTGGCTGCAACTGAACACACACACACACACACACACCTCCCCGAGGCAGCTCGGTGATGCTAGGCCATCGACAGCAGAAACCCCGGCCGCCATCATTTTCTGCGTGACACCTGGTTCGTTCAGAATCAACAACTGACTGCTCACTTGTAACAGCTCACTGGTCAAGTGGAGAAATGCGATTCACCCCCAGAGATCCGTGCTCTCCACCACACTGAGCCTGCAAAGCTTCAAACTGCCAGCTATCACAGTGGTGCGCAGCTGCTGGTTTGAACCCATTTGGCGCGCCCCATGTAGAGGGCGAAGGTTGCGCTGGGAGCTGCAAATTGCGACCAGTCGAACTTCTCGTCTTTGATGGTGGACGGATTCATCGTCTGAACCTTGGCCGAATGTGTTACAAGGCCGACACTTCTCATTTGAGAGCTTGGATTCCTGCCCGAAGTGAAGTCGCACAGTTACGATACGTCAACGGAACGCGGGCATCAGCACCTGGGATATTAGCAGGCCGCCTCTGTAATACGGGGTTAAGCTCTCAGAAGTAGGAACTCGCACAAAAAAGCGTGCTCCCATCCACAACATCCAACCGGTGTGATGCACAAGGCCCTATCTCTTGCCAAAGCCTGCAACTTCCACAGGCACCTTGGCCTGTCCGTTACAGTCTGTTCCGTAACAGATTTCGGGGCCCAAACTCAAAGCGACAAAGGAGAGATGTAACTTCCAGAGGTCAACTTCCATTTCATGCCCACGTGGGCTGGGCAAAAAAACCTCTGCAAATCGCAGCGAGTGATGCTTGAACTATCTGAGCCAGCGGCCTGCTGCTAAGCAAGCAGTCACCTGAGATGTGCCCCTCTTGGTATGCAGCAGGCCGATGACGTGGCGCAGAAAGTCAGACCCAGACGGCTGGCACAACCTCGTAAGGAACTTCAGCTGCTACCAGCTCCTGGGAAAGGGCTGTACTGGTCGCGGCGGCCAGCCCTCTTCTGAAGGCGGAGAACCATTCCCACGGAGTTCTGGTTCATATGAAGGCTTTCAGACCCACGGCCCACGTAGCATAGGTCAAATCTCCGAAAGATGCCTCCATTAATCTTGTGGGAGGCCACAAAAGCCGCTACACTGATGCCATCTTCGTGTTGGCATGTTTTTTCACATCTACAAAAGCATAGCAACTAGCAGCCTGCCGTCCTCCATTTCCTCGCCTGCTCGGCCGAAGATCATGGGATCTCCTCCCTTCAGGCGGCACCTCAGACCGCAGCTCAGCTAAGGACGTTGAAAGCACGCGGTCTTCTTGTGCCAGCCTACATTCTTGTGCGAGCCTACAAGCCAGCAGTGAGAAGCGTGGCGAGCAACTGGTCTGCGCATCTCCACTCGCACTCAAACTGATGCTTCACAACGGGTAAAACAAAGACTGGCCGAGATAGCCAGACCCAAGCTTGATGAGGACGGCGTAATGTCGTTCATTAGTCGCGCATGATCTCCGCTCATGTCATGTAACATGTGGGCTGAACTCTGTTCATGTTGTCTCTGCAAATGACTCAGGTTGTGGCAAGTGCGCAGCTCCCGCACTGACGACATTATCACAGAAATGTATTCGAGATTCTGGGCCTTGCCTGGTGCGATATCAATGCAGGTACATCACTGGACGTCTCCACTAACCTCCCACCTTGCAGCCTAGCTTTGTTGGATCAGGTTGGCAGCATGGTGACTCTGGTCCCTCTGCATACGCGAAGGACTACGACATGAGAATGAGGGCGACCATTGGAAGTAGGCAAGACAACATGACAGGTGCAGGGTTTATCGCATGTACTGCAGAATAACACTCTCGATTGGTGTAAGATCAGCCATGCCAAGCCGCTTACACTGACTTCCCTTGCTTTGCCAATGCGGCCAGCTGAGACGAGATGCTGTCCTGCGAAAGGTTGACCATCATATGATGACATGCACGATCGGAAGGAGGCTACACATGACATCATCCTCGCGAGTCCTGGTGCACCTTCATCTCTGCAGTGGGGACGTTGGTTTCCTGCATGTGCTCACTGTTCAGAGAAAGCGCGACATCCAGAAGAGCAAGAAGTCGTGGCAGCACCTTCCCGACATAACGAACTTCTGCCGTCGGCTTTGCCAAACCTATGACCTGCAACCAGTCGTTCATGGCCGAGAACTCTCTCGAATTCAGTGAGGCCAAGCTTGTTTCAGTCCGCGTCAGCCACAGGATGCAGCATGTACAGTGCTACGGCTGTAAGAAATCAACGAAGCTTTGCATGCGTATCACGACGCATGTCGGCATGGCGATACTGGGTCGAGAAGCTCGAAGCTACTTCCGGCTCCTTTGCGCAGATGGCTCGCGTCCTACTTTGCGGAATTGCCATCAGCCGGGAAGTCAGCACAGGAGGGCGTGAAGTCAGTCGAAGTTTCCGATGCTCCATCGCCGCCTGGTGCAAAGAGAGTCCACCAACAAAGCAGAAGCTGTGTGGTAAGTTGCGCCTACATATTCGCCGCTGTCGGCGATCTCTTTCTTGCTCCTTGGAGTCGGTGGCTTGCTTTCGTGTAGCGAGTTCAGACACTCATGAGAGACTCTGAACGTCAGTCAAGCTGCAAGCCACATGGTGTGCTGCTATCCTGTCGACTTAGGTTGGAGTAACTTTGGCCTGCAACTATGGATAAGCTGCGGCTTGTAAAGGCCCGCCAGCAGGCAGAAGCAAGCAACAAAACAGGCCTCCTCACAATACATTGTCGCATCTCGATGCTGGTAACCCAACATGGGCGACATAATGATGGAGCCCACGACAATCGAAACCATCACTGCCAGCTCGGTGGCATCCGATAACTGGCAGGGGATCGCCAGACGATTCGAACTTGCGATGTGTATTCATACAACACCCGTGCAGCCTGCACATCATCTCTAAAGAGCAGGAGGATGCCGAAAAATATCCTAGGTCAAAAAAAGAACTTGAGATTCAAAGACCAGCAACATCATTTCAAGTCTTATAAAGCCAGGCAACACAAGAAGGCTGATGCCAATCTTGAGGAGATAGAAGCTTCTCAGGAGCTCCCTTACCACAACGAAGAGCTCTGGCAAGGCGAAGGCTGCCTCAGCCGAGTTCAACCTCCTGTCTTGTTATCATCGGCCGTTTTGTCCTGACCACTCTCTTATCATGTGTTTTGCTTTCCCTCACCTTTTTGCTCATGCCGCTCTTACTTTCATTCCGCTTTCATTGTCCTCATTGCTCTTCTGGTCTAAACTGTTCCTCTTCATGAATATTCAATGAAATCTCTGCTGCTGCCATTGCCATACTCATTAAAATCACAGGCATGACTGCAAGTCATGATAGTGCTCGCGTAAGAACCGAATATCTCCCGCTACCATGGCAACCACAATTACACATGGCCGTTTATTGTGGCTGAAACTGTTGTTACGGTACCGCTCTTGGCATTTGCACAAGGGACTTGACTGTTGGCCTTGCTGCCTAGCTCGACCCGCCCCTGACTTGTCACGGAAATCTTTTTTGCACACAAGCACTCCGGAAACATGGGACCCAGCCTATCGCTGCCACACTTAGCGAGCATTCAACAATTGCGAGCAAAAGCCAACGCATTTGTCATCTCAACATCGAGATAGCTAGCAGCTAGCAATGACAAAGATTGACTGTGCACTGGATTTTAAACCTCTTCCGCCAAACTTTCTCTGACAGCCGGCCTTCACGAAAAACCTAAGGTCCACCACACAACTGTGCAGAGAGCATGATTGGAGGCAAAAGGGTGAATCTACGCGGTGTGAGAACGGTCTTGCAGGCTTGTTTTATTGTCAACCAAATATTCTGAAGGGCACCGCAAAAAGGCTTCGGCTCGGTTCAGAGTTGCAGTTTCAGAGGGACGGGGAAATCAAGACCCGCATCGCTCGCGAGTACTTGTAGCAATATGGAAAATGACGGATGCACGGCTTTAATTCTTGGATCACAGAAAACAACAGTGAATGACAATTCAGTGGCATCGGCAGATGCATCAGAAATGGCTCAAGAAGGCAACAACCAATCTTCTTGCAAGCACTTCCGGACCATTTTCGCATCAAGGAGGACAAGAGCCTCTTTAGTTGCAGCATGCATTCAACATGCGACGCAGTGCAACAGAGGAGGTGGAAGGTGATTGGTTTTTGGATCGCATCATTAAGACGGACAAGCTCACCTCGCTATGCTTGTTTTCTCGGGGTGCCCCTGTTCCCAGTCAGACCCCAAGCCCACATGTGCAGCGAACACGTACGGGAAGAAAGTTCCAAGTTCAAACTCCAACATCACGCTTACATCCCGCAAGAAAAAAAAACGTGCTCCCAGTTCTGTACCAAACATGACGGCGGGAATCATTCGTACTCGCACGGCATGGAGCCGCGCAGACATAGGCGGTCTCACGAATCTGGGCTAGGGGCCCATTAAAATTGTGTGAGAACCTTTTGTCATAACAGCGCTCACAAGGGTGCTGCCATATAAGAACGTCTCTACGTTGCAACCAATTCAACTGCAGTTTCACAATCCTGAACTTGCGAAGGGGAATGCAGCTCTGCGGAAAATGATGCGCAACCACTTTGCACTTGCCAGATTTGTACCTGTAGTAATCTGTTTGGTGGAGGGCTGCAACAGCTTGGACATGACTTTGGTCTGACAACAAGGGGCCTCACAACACGTGAGACTGAATAGGCAGCATCCAAAGGACCAAGATGTCAATCTCGCCTGGACGTCATCGAACGCGTCTGAGGCATGCCTCTCGTCGTATAGCCGTGTTTAGAAGCGTGGAAGGCAGCAACAGCTTCAAGCCCAGCTCAAGCAAGGGTTCATCAGCAAAGGACTGGAGATTAGACTGCCCAAAGCAGACAGCAATTTGGCTGAGCCCGTGTCGTTGAACAAAACCTACCTTCATAGGGCAGGGTGAGGAGCGATTGCAGCCCATTACAATCATCCACGTGCGCTTGTGGAGCTCATACGCACCAAAGTCTTGGAGGCACATGGAGGCACCAAGTTGGCGGGTGGCAAGGGCGTGGATGGGCGCCACTGTCAAACGCCCCGTGCCTGTCAACACCAACGGCAAGCCCGGAGCAGAACGCACTTGGATGACATAAAGATCCGAGGCCACAAGCATCAAACACTCGGAACGCCGTTCTTGAAAAGTACCGGTATGCATCCAAAGTTGAGGCTGCCATTCAGCAAATTAGCGGTTTCAGTCAGAAAGGAAAACGGCAACATATGGTCGTCCCAGTTTTTGAAATGGGCAGCAACGAGACTAGCAAGGCTAACATCATTCGCATAAGCGGTGTCATGAAAACTGGAAGACAATGGCAACAGTCGTCAGAACGGGCACACACACACAAACACACATGCCGTTCCAAGACCGTTGCCACTTGCAGAAATCAATTCCACTTTTGTGGAAGAACCTCACCGTTAACCTGTATGGACGTCAAACAAGACCGAGAGAAGAGATCTTCAGCGGATAAAACACTGCGCCGCTTGGACCAACGGTCTTGGCTGTCCGCGGCGTCAAAAACACGCCTGGGACCGGCATCAGGCGCACCTGAGCCCTGGCAAGAGACGCACATCCAACCCAAAAAGGGCCCTTATGTGAGTGGGGGAACAACAGCTCGAAGAGCCCTCAATTGTGGGAGCGCCGCCCCTGCCCAAGCATCGCAGGCTCTCAGTGCGGGTGGGCTTTCGTGATTTAGTGCCTGGTGTATTTGGGTCCCTTCTCCCCGAGCTTGTGGGAAGTGTGCCCAGCTGAGGGAAGCTCCCGAGCTGAAACACCATCGTGGGCCTGTTTCATGGTCTACTGGGTAAGTAGACTCCACTGAAGACATGTGCATGAACTCAACCACCAGCCCACTTGCAAAACCCGAGCATCAAAGCAGGGATGACAACAGCGCACCAAACTACGGAGCTGGTGTTGGTTCTGTTATGTTCTTCCCGTTCACAGCCCGAGGGCAACAAAATGCCACCGCAAGCCGAGCTGCCAGGACGGACGAAGACCAGGCGATGAAGTGACTGTCAATCTCCTCTATCTTGGTCAGAGTCACATCCACCTCAGGGCAGGTTGTGATGTTCCCGAGCACATCTCTGCAACAACCCGGCATGCTTGCATAGCCATCCCACTGCGGTGACAAGCGATGCCGTGCCTCCATTGCGAACATTACCAGTAATAAGCAGCACGTCACCGGCCCCATCATGGTGACCTTTGTCCGCTCGACTTCTTCTGAATTCTTTCAGGTTTTTCCGCTAATGAACTTGTTGCATCAGCGCGGCAGAGATGCGACCACTCCTGGCATTCCGAGCACAACTGAAACCAGATCCGCATGCTGCGATGATAGTCGCGCCGGGCAACTTGTACACAAAAACGCTGCCGTCCGGTTCGTAATGAGGCAGCAGTCGATCTCCCATAGCCATCCGGAAGGTCTTGTAAGACTCAGAATTGCCAGCATCGAAACCTGATAGCACTGCAGGGAGCCCAAGCATGGCTGCACCAAGGCCCCCTCCGACTGATGCATCAAACAACCGCACCTTCGTGGTCATCATCACCTCGGTCAGCAGTCGTGCTAATTGAAACCTGGACACCTCTACTACTCTGCACGGTCCCTGGTGTGCTGGGGGGGCCACAGATGCTGCGATGTGTGCCCGCGGCCAACAAGAAACAGCAAGGAGCAATCATTAAACGGTCAACGATTACAGCAACCAGGGTGCGCATGGTCTGAAGACCGACCAGCACCAGCCACGCACCCAGGAGGTATGGCAACACCTTCAAGTCCCGAATCCAGGCCTCACAACTGAAACATTTACAGTAGCTGCATCATCACGGCAAGAACCGACAAGATCGCTGGGCTGCCAACTGCGATGCCCATGAACATGAACCTTGCAAGCTTGTTGGGAGAGTGTCATGCTGAAAGCTCGTGCGAATCCCTCACCGTCTCCGACACGCATGGCCGCGAAAGTCAAAGCACACAAGCCACCTTGAACCACAAAGACAAAAACCAAGTAGCATCTGGAAAAGCATCTGGAAGATGGACACGAGGAAGAGAGCGTAGCGTGCCATCTTTGCCGGAACTTTGAAAGAGACCAAGATCATGTGGTAAAGGAAGATGTTCTCCTGTCGGGTCGAACTGCTTGCTGGCTTACCGGCGAACGGCCCGGTGCACCATTGCAGCGAAGGAACCATCGAGAGCACGAGCTCCATCACATAGCCATCAAGCCACTTCTCGCCAGCACTGGGCCCGGAGGAAGCAAAGGTCCAGGCAAGGAAGCCCATTGCTGCCTTCGCAATCAGAACCCCTGCGTCCCTGCTTCCGGCTTCTGCTTGAGACAATCAGCGCCCGACCAGCACCCAGACGCCCAGGGCGATCACCTGAGCACAGGCAAAGCTTCAAAAATCATTCCTGTCAGCTATTGACGACGGGTGACGTGAGAGAGGCAGGATTCCAGCGCCAGCTGGTGAATAAACAAACCTGCCACGCGGACAGAAGCAAACTGGAAGTGACTGCCGCGCTCTGCACACTGTTTGCACCTCGTGTCTCATGGTGCCGCAAAGGAACTGAGACGCAGGAGAAGCAGCCAGACCATGCCGAAGGCCACCCATTGGCCAGCAACGGTCGAAGAGAAAAACGCCTCCACACAAATAAAGCCACGGACAAATACAGCCACCGACAAATAAAGCCATCGACAAAGATAGATTTCGTCATTCATTTCAGCCAGCCTCAATGTCCATGTGCGGATGGCTGTGCTTCGCCGAAGGTTTTCGGCTTCGCCCAACCACTTTCCAGAGAGGGGAGTGCTTCGAAGAGGGCTCCATCGCTTTCAAGCCGGTGTGGAGTGGAACCACCGGCCAGAATGCCGACGGGGTGCCCACATCATCGCCCAGGTCTCCCACAGGGCTGAGTGAAGGACGCAATGCCTTCGACATGTGAGTCAGCAGAGAACCAGCAGCATGCTCTGTGACGGGTGCCTCTTTGCTCTCTGCTTGTGACTTGTCCTGGCCGAGGAAAGCAGAAGTCCCAGCTGTCTGTCTTCTCGGCGCTGTTGCCTGAAGGATGAACTCAAGTCCACGACAGCTAAACTGCTATATCTACTCAAGGTTGTCAACCAGCTGCCTTGGCAGGTGTTGAAAGGACGGCGAAGGCAACCAGTAAGAGCAAGGACCTGTGCAGCTTCCTTTGGGATTGCTTCGCATGAAGTCTCTGCGTTGGGCTGGCCCACAATGTGCCAGACATTCCCAAACATGCAAACATACCGATATGCCCCTCCACCATGACCCGCTTACAATGCATCTCGCTTCTCTCATCGACATTGCCTGCCTTTGGTTAAAACGCTTAGATGGCAGCCTCTGGCTGGCAGTCAACATTCACCGGGGCAAAATCGATCTCTGCGTCCTGCGGGCAGACAATGGACAGCGCTGCATGTTGCTGCGAGGAGATCGTGCCTCTGCAACCAGTGGGCGAACGGCCGCGAGCACTTTGGAGTTCTAGTATCGGATGAGGTTGCATGAACTGGAGCCAAATCGCTGCGCCCATCGCTCTTTCTAGGCAACAGCCGTCATAGCCGGAAGATATCAGAAATCATGCAACATGATGCCCGGGAGCTTTGTACAGCATCGCAGTTGCAGCGGCGCCTCCTGAGCTAACCGATCGTACAGAATCACGTCGCAAGATTGCAACACCTGGCAGTTCTCAACTGCAAAGGCAACGAGGCTCAACGAGTGTGGGCCTCCAGTGCTCGTAGCGTCAGCAGCTTTGCTGATCCAGGACCCGCTCCAACTAGATACACCTGCGCAGGATGCCCGTGGCCGTGGCATGTTGAATGCCTTGGAAGAAGCACTGTTGCCGAGCAGGTCTCAGGAATTGACGCAGCCGGGATGGACTGCACCTGCGAGAAGCAAGAGACATTGATGAATTCGGCCAGTGCGCCGGATATGCCCTGAAGCTGAATCGCCCGACCTTCTGTCAGCGGTCCAGCCGGTCCAGCTTCCATGGAACTACTACGAACTGCTGGCGCTGTGGAATTTGCATACTGGGGTTGCGGCAGTTCAGTATGGCATCGAGGTTGTTAGCTGGACAGTGCTGCATGCATGCGGCGTGCATGCAGAATGCACCAGCGGAGATAGAAAAGACCTGGGAGATCTTGAGAGATGCATGCCGCTGTTTGCACACAGATTCTACGTTATTATGTGCTGGCAAACCCCTCGGTTGCAGGATTTTTTGCGGCACGTCGGGCAGCTTGGCGTGCAATGCCGGAAAACCTACTTACTCCACTTCACCGCCACAGGCAATCCACACTCGGTGCCAAGGGCCTGCAGAGCTGAGTACACTGCAGCCCTTCTGAAGACTGCCTGCTTGGGGCACACCCTCTGATGTGCCTGGTTGGCGACCTCTCGCCAGGTTTCGGACCAGCTTCAAGGCATCGGCTGCCTGTTCCGGCACTCTTTGCTTGGTTCCAGGGTTAAGACTCTTTTGCTTGATCTGGGCTCAGCTGGTCATGCGGACTCAAGACCACAATGCCCGCCATGCGAGAGAGCTTCAGTTCATGATCGTGCACCTGCCCCGTCTCCACCGCGACGCGACAAGCAGCCGTGGTCAATGCTGCTGGCTGCAGTCCACCTTTCGAGAAGGAGATTCCAGGACGGGACCTGACCAGCAAAATTTACTGCCTGGGCCACGCAGATCATGAAAGAGGTTCACTTCTCGTTGAAGCCTCTGCTTGTCAAGTGCAGTATCTACTTCCAAGTTGCGGTCCCAATTGCTGGATCTTTGGAACTGCACATGCCGGAGCACTGCAAACATCACCAAAGGGGGGGGACTGGCCTAAAAAAGCCGAGGCTTGGACGAAGCAGACTCGTTGGTGTGGTCGTGCTCCTCGCGCCGGATGACATAGCAGTAGCACTTTCGTGGCAACGAGCTTGCAGTAGTGCAGACGCTGTCCAAGCAGGAGATCAGCCGACCAAGACCAATGGCCTAGGTAACATAATCGAACGATGCAAATCTTAGGACCCGAAAAGCTTAGCATTGCAAGGCATGCGAGACGAATCACCAAAGGTCCCTGCATTGGTCTCCAGACTTCCAGCCTGGCAGAAGCCAAAGCGCATCACCCTGCCCATCCATTCAGCTTGCTAGAGCTGCTACTCGCTTCAACAGCCAGCCTTCATTTCAGCCAAATACTCCCAGGCCGGGAGAAAGTCCTGGGACGAATTGAAGCCGCCCTGCTTCGTGGCAGGGCCTGAGGTTGCGACCGACATCTGGGCGAGCCTGTCACGATGCTACAACGATTTGGCGCATGAAAGCAGAAGGCTATGGCGTCTGGGAGCACTGCGCAGCCAAAACGGCTGTTTCGCTTGCCGCACTCTCCATGCAGCCTGTTGACTCTGAATCCGCCCGACTCACTTACACGATGGACACACTCACAGTGCCTGAAGTTCCTTGGTGCGCTCTCCACAGCCTTATTCGCAATCGCAGTGTAAGACTGAAACCCGACAAAGAGATGTCACTCGCAGGAATGTCACCATCCCCTGTGCACGGCAGATAGAACCTTTCACACAGGACATCACCCAGAAGTCGTGGTGCAAACAAGGCGTCCGTAACTGCTGCCTGTCGTTGTGCAGCTGCAGGCCGACAATACTCCGTCTAGAGATTCCCACACGTGCAAGCTCAATAGCCCGCGCTCTACCAAGGAAAGGCCACAAGGCTACAACATTGTACGAAATGCAGAAGACATTTTCGAAACGACGGTTCGCAAGGACATTTACCAGACATGTCTTGCTGGCATAGTACTGACTCTTCGCAGCAATTGAGCTTACACGTGTACGGCACATTAGTGTGACCCATCGTCTTCAAGCATCCTTTCAGGACTTCCAAGCGAGATTGGGGATTGCCACCACGCACAAGTTTGACTGACAGCGCTCTGCCAAAAATGCGCGTGGATCTGTTTTGGCATCCCTTGGGATCTCGACCTGGGCGATAACGTTCGTCTTCGTAGGACGAGCAAACTCAGCAAACAAGTCAAGGAAATTCAAACACATGTAAGCTCAACGAGCCACTTCGTCGTCATGCATAAGGTCACAGGACTACGGCCTACTGAATCAAATGCAAGAGGTGCGGTTGACATGACGGCTACGCATCTAGCTTCCTCGTTCCTTCTGGAACATCAGCAACTTAGCTTACATGTGAAGAAGAGCACATTAATGGGACCCATCGTCTGCAAGCATCCTTTCAGGACTTCCAAACGAGATTGGGGATTGCCACCACGCACAAGTTCAACTGACAGTGCCCTGCAAGACTGCGCGTGGATCCGTGCTGGAATCCCCCAGGGTCTCGACATGGGCAAATGGTTTTCTCCAGACTCGTCTCTGTTTACGTCTCTTCGTGACACATCGAAAGCTGAGCCTACATGTGCAAGGGGACATGCTAGAGAAACCGACAATGAAGAAAGAACCTTCGCCGTCATCACAGCTCAATGCCTGATAAGCGTTAGCTTCTCTGCCATCTTGTCCACGGTACTTCCTGCGATCCACGCATGGTTCGGCCATGCTACAGCAGCTGGCGAACGAGAAAAAGCACAGGGACAGGACTGAATGCCAACATGAGCGGCGCAGCTCTTGGATGTCAACTTGCATTTGCCCTTGGTTGCTGGACTTGTTGGCTCACTTTCCTCCACACACACACACTGCACTACCCGGCATCCGAGGAGCCACTACTCCGCATCAGAGTCACCAGATCTATGGATTGCGCCGTGCCTTTTAATCTCTTCGCTCCAGCAAGGAACTCTTGATAAGAGATTTGCCCATCACCGTCATCCAAGAGCCTGAGACAGATGCACTAAAAGCAAGGACAGCCCAGCACACCCTTACTTACACCTTGTGAATGCTCATTCCGAGGAACTTGAAGAGGTTTTCCGCATCCGAGGATTGCAGGTCCAAGGCCGACATCCAGATTTTGAATCGCGGATCCTTCAGAGCCTCTTTGAACTCCCACTCGTCCAACGCGCCACTGCCATCAGAATCCAACTCACGAAACAACATTCCGACCTGCAGACAGAAGAAACTTCTCTGCAACTTGGCAGGCCGACGCCAACACCTACTCGTACGCCTGGCTACCGCTATACCTAGGCCGACTCCTACTGTCGCTCTGTCATTTGCTACTGCTACGTCTCTCCTCCTGCTGCTGCTCCTGGTGCTGCTCCTGCTACTACCGCCACAACAGCAACAATCTAGCACCAGCTGCTACTACTACTACTACTACCACCACTACCACTACCACTACCACTACCACTACCACTACCACTACCACTACCACTACCACTACTCCTACTCCTATTCCTACTCC